CTAGACATTGTAAAAATACAACAATCATGCTTATACACAGGAAGCACCAGAAATAAAGAATGGAAGATCTGAATAGTGAAAAGAAAAAGCAGTGGAAATTCTGACAAATGGCATCATATAACATGGGTTAAATGAGAATTAAAAAAAAAAAAAAATCAATCAAAGTTGATGAAATCAGTAGATAAGCAAATAGTAAAGGAGAAGATAAGGTTACAACAGCAAAGCTGTGTATCTCTTAGGTTGACGTGCTACAGAGCAGAACAGGGATAAAACATTCCTTATAGGAGCTGATATGAGGAAATCTCATGTTTAGGAAGAATGTCTCAGAGAAAATATCGCTGCTGAAAGAAAGGGTTTTAGCACAAATCAGTGCAGTAAACAGTAACAACTTACTAGGAGCAGATGATGCTCACCCAGGAGTTGAGAGGCAGCTCACACATGAAACTGCTCAGCTGCTGAGTGAGCTCAGTAAGAGCTGCTTAAATCACCACAGTGCCAGAGCTACAGGAAAGTGCAATCAAACTTTAAAAAGGATCCAGGATGAGCAATTGCATTTCCTCCATACCGTGTCTTTGGCCTAGTCTTGGTCTCTTTCCTGGACTCTGGAGCTTTGTTGTGTCCTTGTCTTTAGTCTTGTCTCTGCCTTCAGCTTATGGATGCAATTCATATCAAACAGGCTGTGCTGAGATACTGAGAGACTCCTGTAGCCACAGCTCCTAGGGAGCCCCCCTTATAGAGTAGCCCTTTTCTGGCTGTTCCCTTCTGGCCCATTTGTCTTGGTTCTCTTTCAAGGGAAATCAGGAAAGGGGTAATGACCTATGCTGTGTAGTTGAAGTGGAGCTAGAACAGAATAGGAGGATTATTTGGGTTCTGCAGTAAAAACTCCTAGGAGGACTCATCAATAAAACAAATCTTGAGATTTGAGAATCTTTTAGAGAAAATAGCGCAGTTAAATGGCCCATTTTACTAATGGGCCATCAAAGGACCTCAGAAACACATTGTGGCATTTGTATGTACAATCTGTAAGTATCGGGAGGAGGTGTGTACTGCAGTCACAAACTGCAAAATCTAAACCAAAAATTTGAGATGGTTAAGGCTAAAACTGATGCATCACTTGTCAGCACAGCTTACAGGACAGACTCTTCATGCCTCTAAGCATTTTCTGCAGAAAACAGTTAGTGGTCCTTGCTGAGACAGGGATCAAAGGAGCAAACAGACTATTAGTGCTGGTGGCGCATTCCTGACTGTTTCTGGAAATGTGTCCCACTTGCACAAATGGCAAACCACTAGAGAGCAGCATTAAATCAGGACTTCTGTTATGTGTCTGAACATAAGACAATGCTTTAGTGTGATGTTTGCAGTTGGAACTGGTTTCAGATTAGGTTTTATCAGAACTAGGGAAGCTATAGACCATCCAGTCCCATCCGGCTCAGTCCTTGGGTATGTAGATACTCAAACACTGAAAACAACCTGTGTAGCTTGTCTCCAGGAACCCAACTTTCCCCATGCATCAAGTTCAAAAGCTACAATAAAGTTCTCTTCAGCCTACAGCTACTGCAAATCAGAGAAAACCGCCTGTGCTGTAAATGCTTCAGCTGGTTCTTGTCACTAGGTATCATCTGGGGTTAAGGCTCACTGACCCTGGAATTATCTCCAGTGCAAAATCTTTCAAGTTGCACATCTCCTTTCTAACATTATGGTCTCGTTCTGACACTGGAAGGGTAAAAGATAAGTGGTGGTAAAATAGCAGAGATCACACTGCTGTGGAAGGAACAGATCTGCACATATACTAGTTAAGTACTGACACCGGTGATTTTTTTCTTTTAAAGGATAAATCTTTCTTTTAAATAAAAACATACCTAAAATGTGGAAATACGTCAATATATACAATGGAATAAAGTGCTGTAACATACACCTCAATTGACCACTTATATTAAAACTAACATTCAAAGGTTTTTGTTTATCAAGTGTGTGCTTTGCTCAAAATCTCTTCTATGAATGGTTGCTTTTGCTGCCTAGTAACTGGGACTAAGTAAGGACCAGGGACCAGATTTAAATCTTATTTTTGTGATTTTGACCTTTTCTGCAAAAGGCAAAGCACTTTGTGCACTTGATCAAGGTCAATGATTTAATTATTCTAAACTGATTAACTGAGTGCCAACTCAAAAGCAGGAAAGCTCATTTTCCTCTCTCAATCAGTTAATGAGGCATGAATTGCACGCTTTCACTAATCCTAGCATCCTGAAAGACACAATATCTGTAAACAGTTAACTCTTAAATATCATTATTTTATACACAAAGAAGTTCTGTGTATGTTTTTATTGTTTAACACTTTTCAGCCCATTATAGTGTAGTATGATAGCTTCATTTAATGGCTACAAAGTTATTTTAAAATGCTCTTCCACAGAATCTGGCTTCTCCCTAAATTCTGAGTTGCTCAAAACAGCCTTAAAAAGAATTGTCATGTAGTAAGTGTGATGCTTTCTATAATTGTTACTTTAAAAATTAGGATTTTTAATGTAGTAATAAGAACAGCTGGCCTCTTTAAACATGTAGAAATATCTGTGATTCCTCCTCAAAAGTAATAAGCTTCCTAAGGTGAACACACGGTTGAGTTATGTCAACTGTTCACTAGAAATTGCCTGCATAACCTTTGAGTTAATAGCTGAGGAACTGAGCTTTAATGTGATATTCCACTGGATGCTTAGATGATCACATGGCCATTCACCCTTGTGAATTTTGTTTCCCTTTAAAGGAAGAGAACGCTTCACAGGTTCATTCACACAAATGCTTTAGCCAGGGAAAATGCCTCTGTAGTTTCTCATTATGGAAAACACATAGGACATACTATACTTAATGCTTGTGATGACACCTGTTACTGATACAGAACTAGGTAAAAACCCTCTACTTAAATACCTACAGGTGTTTGCTTTTTCTAACTTTGTCATTTAACGTTTTGCCGAGAGCGATTTGGATTACGTGGTGAAAGAAGTGCCCATTCTCTGTCCTGGAATAAAGGTGAAACTAAGTAAGCATCCCCAAAAATGTGGTAAATAAAATATTAAAATTTCTAACAAATAGCAGTGATAAAATATGTGGCAGATCAAGGACAGTGTGGCTAAGAATGAGAACTGTTAAATGCAATGTAAGAAAAGGCATATGGGAGAAGTAAAGCAAGTCACAGCTGTGTAGTCAAATTATTTGGATAGATAATGAAACCAAGACCTGAACATTATTCTGGTAGAATATCAAAGCAGATAATATAGACAAGCAGCATCAAAAAGGAAATTTGCATCTATGAGACAACTCATGATAATGTGTTATCAGTGATACAAGACTTTGGTCTATAAATTAGCCTTGAAAAATACCCAGTTGTTTCTGGCAGTCAGGAAAACTAATTAAACCATGGGATTAATCTCTTGATTTGAGGGAGGTTTTTTTCCCATGGAATGAATATGCAAAACCGTATGGCAGAACTTCAAAGGGCCCTCCCATCTCTGCTTGCTGCACACCTGGAGTGACCCAGCTGCAGGCTCTCCACAGTGATCTGGTCTTGTTCTCTTGCTTCTACTGCCTAACAACTTCTCTCCTCTGTCGTTTTGTGATGTGTAGCAGCAGAAGTATGCTCCTGTGACTCCTTCTGTCTCTCTTTTGAGCCTGATCTTGAATAGACAGAGAGGTTACTTGGAACTGTACTGGAGGAGCTCTGGTTAAAGATACAACAAACTAATGAGGACTTCTGAACTTCATCCTCTGATCAGTTAAAGAAAAAAGGGTCCTTTTTATCTGCACCTCATTATTTTTCTACATGGAAATGTTAAATGCAGATAAATTGGGGAAGTCACAGAAATGTGGAATGTTTTAGAAAGTTGAGGATCAACTATTAGTAGGATAAAATGAAAATAGTAGTAGCAAAGCTTTACATAATATTAGCCAAAATTTTTCTAGCAAAATACTCCTTAAAAACAAAGGACTAGCCCATATATCTCTCTGGAAAGGCACTTGCCATCTTGATTTGCTGTGAACCACATAGGCTTCCCAAAATACTGTCTTTGCAGGAAATGTCAGAGGTTTTCTTGCTTGTTTCTTAAAGATCTGATACAGTCTATCTTTACTGTAAAGATTTTCTGTACATTTCTCATTTTTCTATAGCTCCTCAGTATTTTTGCAGGGACTGAAGCTGGGAGAAGAAAACAGGATCTGCCTGCCTATGGTGATGTTCATGTCGCTTTAGCATGAATATTCTTATTCTTTGGCTTACTCTTATAGTGTGAGTTTTCTAGGATTCAGCCTGCTTTTCTAGTCTTGTTTCTATTCATGGACATCAAAGGAAGGAGGGCTTCCCAGAACCTGGGAAGGCAAAACTGTGTGACCTGGTGGTTTTATGTATTTGCAGACTCCAGAAAAACACACAATTTCTGTCAGCAATGATTATATAGCAATATACCATGTTGGAAAAACATTTTCTGTCAACAATCAGATTAATCTGTGACTCCAACAGATTTTTGGTGCTCCTGGCCAGAAATGCTTGGCTGGGAGCTGTGCACAGAGGGGACAGGCAGATAGATGGGCTCTGCAGAGCAGGGTGGCAGCAAGCTAAGGAGTTACTATTACAGGTAGCCAGTGTGGATGGATCAAAGAGTTCCTTGAGATGGAGTTTTGCTGTAAACAGCCTGCTGCCGGATATCCTGTCCCTTGGTCAGTAGTGAGGGGACCTGCAGCAGCTCATGGCTTCTTCTTAGAATTAAAGATGAGTCACTTTAAGGTTACTGAATTTTCTTTCCTATTACTCCACTTCCTCTGTTTTTGAAAGATAAATAAGAAATGAGAGCCTGGAAATTCTCTTGAGAGGTCCTGCAGCTTGTTTGTTTTGTGAAAATACTTCTTGTTATCTAATTTTGTTACGCTTGTTAACAACAGCAGCAGCTTTCCCATAAAACTTGCCCCAAGTAAACTATCCACAATTTTGAGAACTAAGCTGCAGAGCAGAGAAGATCATCTTGGAAATTTGAAGATGAAGTACTTTCTTCTGCCAACTCATTTAGCATTTCTCTGTAGCTTTGCACTAAGTAAACCCGTTCAGGTGTGTCCCTGCTCTGAGATGTTGAGAATTTACATTGCTGCTGCTGAGTTGCTCTATCTTAAAATTAATTAGAAATTCTTACTGCTGTGATTCTACTTGATAGAAGTTTTCTGCTATGGAGATGAGCATGTACTAAAATATATGTGCTTTTTTTTTTCCAGATAGCTACAAGAAAGAATGACTTAGGTGAGTTTGATTGTAATTATTATACAAATAATTACAGGTATAGGAGAAGCTGCATCTGTAAATCTCAATATCATTATTTATTTTTCTCTTTGAAAATGTTTGGGAGTTTTTTTTCCACCATCAGTGGAAGGCAATTCACAGAACTCAAATGTGTTTTAAAGTCACATTCAGTGTGATTTTTTATGTTGCTGCGATAAAGAAATTAAGAAGAATTATTGAACAATTCCTACATGAAATGTTCTTTTCCACATGTAGCTCTAGCAAATCAGAATATTTTTCACTTTGTTTTGTTTCTTATGTGATATATGGTACTTTCCTGTCTGCTATACCCAAGACTTCTGTAATTTTTTTGCCTAATATCAGATAGCTTTTGTCTGTGAGAAATGTATTTCCAGTATTTTAGAGTCAGAACTGACAAGCACGTCACAATGTCTTATGTCAAATTCACAGTTAACCTGGAAATTAATAGCTTGCATACATTCAATATGCATGATAAAAATAGTAATTTCTTTTGTATGATTAATCCTATTTTTACAGAGGTCAGTTATGATTTTTCTTTAATTCCACAAGCTCTAATGAAAAGAACAATGACTTATAACAATTAGCATTCCCCTCTCAAAGCTCCCAAAGCTTCTTAAGCTAAAGTTTATTTAGTCACAACTTTGATTGCAGCTGCACTATGACATTTATTTCAATACTAAACTTTTCTATTCAGGAAGCAAGGCAGACCTAACCAGTCTTAGCATACTAATCCTTCCTCACATTATTAGGAAATGAACTTCAGTGAAAGAAATTTCCAAAGATGCAAAATCTTGGTTAGTGTGTACCTCTCATCTCCCTTTCTGCACACATATTTGCCCTCTCAGTGCCTTGTATGTTCTTTATTTTCTGCACCTGCCAGACAGTGACATAGCTGTGTATGAAGGAGACATCCTCTTGAGAAGAGGGCGACGCAGTGCAATTAACTGTGAGAGTTGTTTATGGCCCAAGTCACAAGATGGACTGGTCAAGGTTCCAGTTAACATCTCTTCTGATTTCTGTGAGTGTATGCAAAAGGATGCTCTAAAGTTAGCCTCGATTTTCCAGTCTTTATACTCCCTCTTATTTTATGTTTCTCTGGCATGCACCAAAAGCAACCTTTGCACAAGTGAGAATTTATTGACACGTCTCTTTTTCTATCCTGTTAGCCCCATGGAAATTTGGCTAAGATTCCAAAAAGATCACACTAAAATATGTGGTTACTTGGGCCAATAGTCAGGTAATTAATTGCAATTCAAATATTAGCTTGCTCCTGTTAGCTACAATGTACTTGGATATTTAGCAAGTACATTAGAAGAGGCATAATTTGTTCACATTATGAATGTATTTTTGGGAAAATTACCACTAGGAACATGTTTTTGAACTCTATAATTTTCTTTCAAATATCTCATAGAAATATTCCCACGCTAGAACCCCTGTAGAGGCAAAAATGGAGGAAAAATCCTTGGAGATATTATTTTCCTTTGTTGATTCCCTCTAGTCAGTCAATAGCACTGTCTTGTGCAAATGGCTGCAGGAGTGAATTCCACACAGACCCTTCTTCAAAGATCTTACCTTGAGAGAAAATGGCATGGAAATAAAACATAACCTGAGCCTGATTCCTGTTTCTCAGGGAAAGGAACTGAGGAAAGCTCAATGTCTGTGTTATCTAGGCTGCTTCTCTGCCCATGTGCCTCAAGAACTGCAGTTTATATTCTTGTGGATGGGTGAGGGTTATTCCCTCTATCTCCCTCTCTCCAAAGTTTAAATAGGAAATTGAGGATACACATCAGTTGTAGATGATTCATAACTTAGGAAGCCAAATAAGCCAAAATGTTCCAAAGTAGATAAACATTCTGATCTTTATTTGGTACCTGAATAGAAACACCATGATCTTCAGAGCCTTGGCTGTCTCAAGTAATTCCAAGGAACTGTTCCAAAGGGAAGCATTTGCTTTTTCTGATAAACAAAATAGGGTTTTGGTGCTTAGCTACAATCAACTGGCTCATTTGGGATACTTTAATCCAACTATTTGTATCTTAAACTGCCTCATTTCTTGTTCTGTCTAATGGGAGGAACAATGCCAATATTTTGCTTTCCATCAGCTGTCTCCTAAATAATATGTATATGAGATAGTTGTAATTGTTATACTTCCCCATAAATGTCCAATCAGTTTGAAGATCTCTGAATGTTTAGTGCCCTTTTTTTCTTACTATGCTTGTATGATAAAGAGCTAATGAGTGCTGTAAAGTTTGGAAGAAATGTACCCCATCAATACACCTTGGTTTTTGATTAACCAAGAAAGATTTCTCCTGGTCCCCTTCTCTTTCTAGCAATAACAGAGAGGTTTTGGATTGCTGATGCTTTGCAAGAGATCTCCACACTGACTTGTGTGCAATTTGTAAATCGCACTACAGAAACAGACTATGTTTATGTTGAACGAGGGCAGAGGTAAGCTCCCAGTCTCCTGAGAGTGGCAGTACTCAAAATGTCATTCAGATTCTTTTCTGGTTTATTCTGGATTTAAGTAATTGGGGCTTTTTTTTTTTGTTTATCCTAGCAGTAAAAATTTAGAGAGAAGGTGCAATTTTTCATTTTTCTTTAGATATACTGTTAGTTACATCAGCTAATAGGCTGCAGGAATAAATGTGTGTGTGGATTTAAAGATAATGGGCTGTAATTCAAAAATAAGACATTTTCCTTAGTTGTTGTAAAAAATTAAATAAGTAAAATTGTTTCAGGTTCTTTGCTTAACACTTTATACTGTTTTGCCTTAGTTTGATATAGTCAATTTACTGGTTTAAAATTTGCTATCCTCATCATAAAGGCTTTATTTCCCTCCCAACATGTCATTTGGCAGCTTTCAGAAGTCTAGATATCTCATGCCAGTCCCCCTGCTCTGGCTATATATCTAGAGAACCTTGGTGACATAATCAATACATCTATATATTTTTATTTGCTAAATGTGATTTTTTTTTTGTTATTGATTGTTTATTCTTAGCTGCTGGTCTTATTTTGGAAAGATTGGAGGACGTCAAGCAGTAGGCCTGGTGAAAAATGGTTGCATGGATAAAGGAGCAATTCAGCATGAAATGAACCACGCTCTGGGTTTCATCCATGAACAGGCACGGAGTGATCGGGACAGGTTTGTCAAGATTATGTGGGAACACATAGTGGCAGGTATGTCCACTAAATCTTAAGAGAAAATATATACTTAGAGTTAAAGGAGAATGTTTCTCCTGTGAACAACAATGCAAATAAGAACCGTGATTAATGTTGGCTGAATTGCAGCATCAGCAGCACATTCAGTGTGATGAAATTTCTTGTTCAATGCTTGTACTAAGGGAATTTCTGTGGCTACACCTATGGCAGTGTGAAAGATGCAGCCTAAAAGTAGCTCTATATTGTTATTTTGATTGAGCCCATATCCCAAAATACCAGCATCATCAGGATTACAAAATGTTGTTGCAAAGATTTGGCCAAGAGGCAAGGCTGTGAGCCCCTTAACTGAGGAGGGTGAAGTGTGACATTGAAGATCATGTTGGGGAATAACACAACAATTCTATCCCGGGAAAGCCATGGAAATACAGGAAGGCAGCAGTAGGCATCTTGGCAGTGAGTGAAATGCTCATATCCTAAAATGTGTAACAACAAAGGGTTCAGTGTGGAGGCATTGGAAACACATGCAACCATTAGCATTTGCAAAATTCTGGGACCTGGCTTGATGTGAGAGGAAAGACTGCAATTATTTCCTCCCTGTGGACAGGATCATATATACATGAAAAGAAGGAGCCATGGGGAGCATTAAGGAGTGGTAATTCTGTAGAGGAAAAACAAGTGGATACTATTTACAGAAAGGAATGCAGAATGAATAGTTCGGGCGTGTGCCCATGATCTGTGTGCTGGGAACATGGGCTCATCATATACAAGAGCTCCAGGCTCTGGGGAGGAAAGGCTAGAGAGAATGGCAAGAGAAGGGAAAGTGAGAAAGTGGTACATAGAAGTAAAACACCAGAAGAAAGTATACAGGGAGTCACTTGTCTAACAGCTGTTAGAGAGCCGAGGAGTAATCCATAAAAATTGTGAAAATACAATGGTCTATTTAGTTCATTATAGAAAATATTAGTAAATGAGGCTGGACAATTGAATACCAAATTCTATTAAGTCTCTTCAACAAGTAAGATACTCAACCACTCAATATCATGCAGAGCTAAAAATATATCCATCTTTTTCTCCAGATGGAACTTGATTGTTTTTATTGCAAATTCCTAACACACTGTTCTCCAAACTTTCTTAAGCTATTCCCATGATATCCTAAGTAAATTCCATTTGTGTTGTTCTTTATTGAGGTTTCAGCTCTAGTGTTAAGGTGTAATTTTGCTGTGAGTTGTTTGCCATTGTACAACAAGGGTATGCCATGTTTGAAATGTCAGCAAAGGATGTGCTGGGAAAGAAGTTGAAAACATGAAGTTATATACACTAAACACATATAATCTTACACCAGTTTTGCAAAGGGAACTCCACAGGTTCAGATGTCCTAATTCCTGAAGGATACAGATGCAACCAAGCTCTGATTCAGGTACAGTATCATGAAATGATAAATGAGCAGAGGAGGTAAAGAGGACAAGGCTATGCCAAAAGAGATGAGGTATATCATTGGTGTTTTGAGTGTTTGCCATGAGTAGAAAATGAGATGATTGGTGTGGCAAGGGAGCTGGAATGCAGAGTGCAGCTCAAGCACTATAGGAAAAAATGCAAATATGTGCAGGGAAAAGGAAATGGAGAAAGAGCTATGTTCATGAGGACTGTAATGTAAAAACATGCTGCTGTTAACAGTGCTGATGGCAGAGCTCCTGCTGACCTTGGTGGTGCAGAACCAGACCTCAAGACCTTTTCCAGCATCTCAGCTCTCTGACACAAGCTGTTTTCCTCCTGCCAGGACTTTCATATTGTGAATGTTTTCTACGTTTTGTTTTTACCCAGCAATTTACCTTGGAAGTCATCCTACTTCTTTGTTTTGACAAAATGCAGCCTGATTGGTTGCTGTCCACACAGCTACTTGAAAGTCAGCTTGTTTTTCCTGCATTTTTGGGAAAAAAAAATATATTCAGAATCTTCAGCCGTAGTTTCCTTTTCAGCTCTTCTGAGTCATTGCACTTACATTCTGGCAGAGGCAGATATTTTTTCTCTTTTTTGAGGGGGGAAAAGATGGGGTAGGTCCCCAAACATGTGCAGGTCTAGACAGCCAGATCTCTTTGGCATATGATGAGATAGGTAGTAGTTTGCTGGCAACACCTCAGTCCAACCAGGATGCTGCCACTTTTTCTTTATTTAGCAAACTAATTCAGCAAGGCATTTCTGTGCCAAACAGTAGCCATATGCTTCAATATTTCACCACGTTTGAACTGTGTTCTCTGTTCATCACCTCAAAAAAGCTGCACGCTTGCTGATAATTCTTTCTGAAGTCAGTATGGCAGATAAGAGAGGCTGAGATTAAAACAGAGTCAGAAAGGCCAATGCTGTTGAGAAACAGTTTAAGCCTTAACTGAGTTTTACAGCTATGAAAAGCTCCAAATTCATGCTTGTCCCCAAATTTTCTATTAATTGGGATTTCAAATCTTCTTTTTGCATCTGTTAGCCCTCAGCCCAGGACCAGTGCTGAAAGACATTACTGGCTTAGATTTTCTCTGGTTGCAAGCCTGCCAGCTGAGTTGTGTAGATCTCAAGGTTGTCCAACTCTGAACTCTTGTCCAGATGGTCTGTGGTTTACAAACCACATTTGTAGTTACAATAATGAAGGTACAGAACTTGAAAGGAGTGCTCAGTGGCTAGAGTTTTAGTCTTAATGCCAGGTTGGCTGCATCCAGCTCCCTGCTCTGACAGTGCTTGTTTGCCTGTCTCACCATGGAGAAGAGATCCAGCATGTAATTCATATTCATGATCTCCAGTCAGTGAGAAAAAGAAGTGCCTTCTTCACATGAAACTCCCTCCAACTGTGTCCCTCTTTCTTCCCCTCTCCTCTGACTATCCTGGGAGTCTTGAGGAATAGCTTCAGTGCCTAACTTGGAGAAATAAAGCTAGGTGACATGAAATCCAGTCTCTGTCCCTGGGCCCCAGCCCTGTATCACCTTCTCATCTCATTCTGGCTGTTTAAGACTAAACAGATGAAAAGTGATGAGATGCTCAGCAGCTGTTCTGATAGTTTTCCTGCTTCATGGGAGTCATATCACTTCACTCTAGTCACTGCTGACCAGAGACAAAGCCAGAACATGTCTGGTAGCATGGGCTCTGGGGCAAGTAACAGGGAAAATGTATTCCTTTCTTTTGTGGCAAGCCTGTGGTGGAAGGACTCAGCAAGACATCACCCATGCATAGTTCTGAATTTTTCATCTAGGTGGTCAGCCAGATTTCCCTCTCAAGGTATAGATACAGCTTTGGGGACATAGGTTGGATGCTTGTAGTATTCAAGATAATGCACTGAAATGTATTTGGAGACACCCTAATGAAGATGGACACAGGAACACTTCTGCTTGAATAGTAGGATGTATTCATTGATTATATCAAGACTTAATTAATTTATATTCTGAAACCTACTAAAATTAATGGTGGTTTTGATAGATCCAGGATCTTATGCTAACACATATTAGTATCCTATGTTACTCTCTGGATTATGACAGCAGGCAGTGTACTATTAGTAATAACTGTTCTGACTGAAATATTGCTTTCCTACCTTACAGGGGAACAAGGGAACTTTGGGAAAATGAATTCCAAAAACCTGGGCCTTCCCTATGACTACTCTTCAGTGATGCACTATGGCGCGTAAGTTGATTGCTGAGATATCCTTTCAAAGGAGCAAACAGCTTTCAGATCTTCTGCTCACATCTAGGAAGAAGTTGCTCTGTGCAGGGAGTGACTTCTACTGTTTATTTAAAATTGAATGCATGGACATAATTAAGGGTGAGCATACTTTCTTTGTCAGCAGGATTCCTGGAAATCAAGAGTTGATATGGAAAGAAACAAAACATAGAACAACATTTTCTTCCAATGTACTCTTGCCTCTTGCTAAAGGCCTTTAACATGGCTGTGGCCCAAAGACTAACTCTACTGAATCACTGATCTAAACCAGTTCTGAAGTTTAAATTATTTTATAAACATCGTAACAGCTGATCACAGACAACAATGTTCAAGTATAGAGGCAAGAAGGATGGAAATTTTTTTATATCATTGAGATGTTGTATGCTGCCTTATGTTAATCTGGGAACACTGTCTAAGGCTGCATTTTAGTCCATAATGTGCAAGCTTGTATCACATACCTTCTCCTTTATTTCCACAAGCAAGTAACAACTTTGGAACAAAACCATGAAATAAAACTGGACTAGCAGAAGGCAGGAAATTGCAGATAGCAAATAGGCAATTAGTAACTGAGAGAGAACTATTTCTTCTCCTCTGCCTCAGGAACCAAGAAGGCGGGATTTGGTCCATTTTGCTGGACATTGGTGAAAGGCCTTTTCACTCAGGACAGAGTAGCTTTTTCTGTTTGCTTGCTTTCACCTGCTGAATACCAAATATCTGCCATGCTGGTCCTCCTCAGGGAAGGCTACCTGTTTATGTGGTACACGAAAAATGATTATGAAGTTAGAGAACTTCCCTGTCTACAAAAAGCAATCTAGAAAGGTGATTTCCTTATTTCTACAGGTATGATTTCTCCAGCACTCCAGGAAAACCAACTATTGTACCAGTTCCTGACCCCTCTACACCTATTGGGCAGAGAGATGGGCTGAGTAACTTGGATGTAGCTAAAATCAACAAGCTCTACAAGTGCAGTAAGTGCTGTAGATAGAAGCATGTGAATACAGCTGATGTCTGTAGGCACTGACAGACATCCCCCAAATGAACACAGTCCACAGTCCTTTCACTATTTCTCTCACCCTACAGGAAACAGAACTGTCCCTGTGCCAAACTGCTGCCTTCTTGGAAAGGACAATTTACTTTCAATAGTTCACTCTCATTTTGAGTTATCCTCACCTAATCCCCGCTCTTTGAGATAAGCAAAATCCATCAGAGAACTCATGGTTGCTGCCTCTGTGAAATTCTTATTTCAGGAAAGCTCTGAAGGTTGCAAAGCACATAAGCTTTCCTCAGCCATGAGTATAGCTTAGAGTCATGTGCATCAACAGTGCCATTAGTGCCATCATTTGTGATTTCTCTTAATTACAGAATGACTGCAGGGCTGTAAGCATGGGTGCCATTCAGCCTGATCAGAACACCTTTGAGGAGAAAATCATAGGCATTTTGTATAGATATCCACTTTCTTGCCACATCCATTTCTTAACTCATCCCTGTAGTATCTCAAGGTCTGGAAATATCTAGCATTCCTCTGTAAACAGGAACTTCAGCCAGGATGCACAGAACAATTATAACATCATGCTCCTGCACTGCACAGGTTTTGCTTTAACTCCCAGGACAAAGGCTAATTGATTTATATGGTATTTGACTTTTCTGAGATGTTATTCAATTAGTTTCCACCAAAACAGCAAGAAGCATTAACAAGACCTAAATATTAGTGTACTAAATTCTGCTCTTTGTTAGAACTTAGTTAAATAATTAGAATTTAGATGGAATCAGCATTCTTTCAGTTGGGTTGTTAGGAACAGAAATAATTGCTGAGAGTTGTTCCTCCAAATTCACAATGCAGATAAGACAACTTTGCAATTTAAGTGTCTCAAAGATAGTGATAACAAGTATTTATGATACTTATTCTTGACAGTGGGGCTGGGAATGAATCACATTTCAATACCATTACTATGTAATTTCATAATTAGATCTGTATGTTTTGGAAGAAAAGGATTAAATTTTAAAAAAAGATAAAAACCCAGGGACTAAAAAAACCCAGGGACTAAAAAAACCCATAAAAAGTCCGGTTGTCTCAGGAAAAGTAGGAAGCAAGAGAAAAATGTCATAAATTCCTATGAGTAGATGTCATATATTCACATTTTGTAATTTGTGGAGTTACATAAAATACAAAAAAAATGAAGATGTGGAAAGACAAAAGTCAGATGACATCAGACTTTGTATATCAGTCACTAAGTCTGCGGGCTGATTTCAGTGCTGTCTGTTACAGTTTTCCCTCAGTGACTACCTCTCTTTGCTCTGACAAAATCTTGTTTTCAAACTTGATTTTTGTGTACACTTATGAATACACACAGTTGCTGATGGAAACTGATGTACTGCTGTCATTCAAAGTACATATGTGATTGAAGTTAAGGAAGTTCACAAAAGATGCAGGCCATTTTTAGTAAACTAAAATATGTGAGCAAAGCCCTATTGTCTTAAAAAAAACGTTAGTAGCTGAAGCAGGTAAGTACCTTAACTATCTTTATTTCCACTTGCAGGTTTTCAATAACTTTTACCCCAGGAACGGCAATATAGTTGTAAGCATTATCATTAATTTATACAAGCTTGACTGCTGTAAATGGTTGGAGAGACTTGTCAAGCATTATGGGAATATTTTGCAGTTTTCATTCTCTTCAATGCTCTTTGGTTCTTCCCTTCAGATTGCTGTAGCTCTGTGTTGCCTAAACCCAAAGGCTCGTTCTCCTCTGTCAATTACCCATCCCCATACCCGAACAATAGCAACTGTCTGTGGTTGATCCGCATCCGTCGAAGTAAGGTAATTTTTATTAGGAGAAAATAGGTTTGAACCACACTATCCAGGCTACACAGCATTATTTTGTTACCATGAGTAACATCTGGGAGTCAGTTACAAGGATCAAAACATTTATTTTGTTATGCAGTAAACGAAAGTCTCAATCGTTTTCAGGAGAATTAAGACTATTAGAGGGATTGTTTCACTCAATTTTTATCCAGTTCAGATTGGATGGCTTTTCAAAGACAAGCAGTATTGAAACATCAGCCTCTGGGATCTCAGTAATAGGACAGCTAGGTGAAATTTTATGCTCTTTTTATATAGAAAGTAAGGTTTCAGTAGTACATGGATAGTAAAATGAATATGAAGGCTCACTTCATATTCAGGTAGATGGTTTGAGACTTTCCTGTATATAACATTAAACCAAACTTCAGCTTTTTTGTTTCTCCAGATTTTCCTGCAGTTTGAGGCTTTTGATCTCCAAGGCTCCTTAGACTGTTCTTCTGACTACATAAAAATTTACAATGGGAACAGCAAGAGCTCCCCTGTCTTGCTGGACAAGTACTGTGGGAAGGGTCCGCTGCCCTCCTTAGTGGCATCTGGATCGACAATGCTGGTAGAGTTTGCAAGTGATGAGAGCATTACAGCCACGGGATTCAGAGCCTCCTACAACAGGGGTATGAACACTCCTTTACAAAGCTTGGAGAACAGCATTAGCAGTATTTGTATAGAAGAACTGAAAATTTGTACTACACACTACAGAGCAGGTCTTTTTGCTGTCATTCTTCACACTTTCACAGCAATTGGAAATGCAGGTTAGGCAATGATGTGTCTGAAGGCTCACAGGAAACAGAAAACGGGATGTTGCATGGGTGTCATGTTAGTTATTCTGAGATGTCACTCACATTCTTCTGAGAGCCTCTGTTAGGCTTCTTCATATCTCCAGAATAATGTCTTTAAACAAACACAATGCAATGACTGAAATTAATAGGAGCAGTGCAGCCAAAGAGCACAAAGACTGCAGAATCAACCAGAGACCTCAACCAATGAGATGCAAAACCAGTGTCTGGGCAAGACACTCAAGGTTTTGTGGGATTTTATGCAGCAGGAGAGGTACTGACCTTGGGTCCCTTACACTTTCTGAATTAAAAGCTTTCGTTATGTACACAAAACACAGTGCTTCCTGTAGTCACGTGTGGGGTGTCTTTTTTGCAAACACACAAATGCATTCTGGACTGCCAGACCAAATTCTGTTGTGCTCTGACATGCTTTCAGCAAGAAGGCAGTAGCCCAAAGTTGCCTCATTTCAACTGAAAATCCGAACTTCTTTAGAGCATAAATTGAAGAAGTCTTAGAAAAGTGTTATTTTTACTCTTTCTGCTTTATTCAATGGAGTAATTTCTAGAAAGCACTAGATCGAGCTTGATTGTGCAATCTTGAATACTTGAGCTGATTCATTTCTGAAGAGCAGCTAGTGCCATAAGAATGCTATGCTAATATGGTAGCAGTTGATTGGAAAGTCAGATACAGCTTTAGATGCAGCTGCTCCCTGTCCTCCAAAGATTATTTATCAAACGTGTTTCTAGTTCCTTCAGTACAGCTGCTGATACAAATACTAAGTGAAGAAATAAAGTACTTCAGCAGTAGATTTTCATGGTAGCACATTTTTTTCTTGAAGAAATAATAGAATAGGGTGTAAGCAAGCTCATTTCTACTGACAAAACACTCTTGTTAATATATTTGTTTTCCTCCTTTACTCCTCAGTGAATTGTGGAGCCACTTTCAGAGATTCAAAGGGAGTCATCACCTCTCCAAACTACCCCAATAAATACCCCAAAAACAGAGCATGTTTCTGGGTCATTACTTCTCCAGCAGGATACAAGGTAAGGCACAGATGAATTCATTTGTGGGTTTCATCACTGTTCTCTGATGAAATCTCTGTTTCCATTGAAGAATAAGAGCTGTTATATCACTTTTTCAGCAGATATTCTCAGAGTAAAAATCTGAAAGCAAAAATTCACTTTAAGAATTTATGCTGGGTCTTGGTGTCTGAAGTGCTCAGCAAGGGAAAACCTTTATACATGCAAGTGAACTCTATAAATCTAGCCTGTACCACAAGGCTTTGTTCAAAATAATCCCTAGGTAAGAGCTCCCACTAGAAAACTGAAACATCACACAGGTGCTGTTTTTATATTTCTCTAGAGGAAAGAATGTGAAGCGTAGAAGATCAATCTTGTCCCTTGCTTCTCCTTCCAATCCAAATACTGATGAACTAAGCAAATAATTTGCTACTAATTTGCATTGCCATATGGGATCAGGATGTGGCACATGCACACAGAATAAAAAACAGAGCCTGCACACAAGGAGTTTAGAGTATTTGTCACTGTTAAAAAATGGGTAAGAGAAAAGGCTGCAACCTGGAAACAAAGTGCTTTGGTTGTGTTTTCTCCAGATATCTCTCAAAATGTTATCCTTTGAGCTGGAATATAGTGACAGATGCATCTATGACTACTTGCTCATACATGATGGAAGCCGCCCTACGTCACCTGCAGTTGGCCCTTATTGTGGGACAGAGAAGGTTAAAGACTTTACTTCCACTGGGAACTTTGTGCTGGTTGAATTCCACAGTGATTTAGTGTGGGAGTTGCCTGGATTTGTGATGAGTTACACATTTGCTAGGTAAGTACAATACAGATGGGGTTTGAAAAACACAGAATGAGAGTAAGAGTCCAGCTAGCCACAGGTAAAAGTCGATGCCACAAATTTCAGAAAAAAAAAATAGCTTGATACCTTTAGCAAGCATGAAGTTTGATCTCTTAGTTTTACGTCTACAGTGGTGTAATTTCCATAGTGAATCAAGGACAGAAATGTTCCTGCCCATGGGATGCTTCTGTCTGAGACTGTATGCTTTTTATTATAGTATTCTTATTGCTGGTGTTGCATAGCAAAACACAATAGCAGAGCTGAAACTATGTAAGCATCAGAACTTCTAGTAGTAGAAACTGTGCCCATAAAAAAACTCAGAACTTTAACCTGTATTCTGGCAAATGCTATTACCCTACTTTAATGTGCATTCCAGCATGCATACAGAAAAATCTTCAGACACATTTATTTACGTTTTGAAGCCAAGATCACTTATACAGTTCCTACAGGCACCAGAGCTTAGCCTGGAAATCACCACCTGACACTGAACAAGTGGTGTCATAGTATGGTATGACATACAGTACCTCAACTCAAAGATTTGCACTACTCCTCTGTGAGATGAACCAAGTCAGGGAAGAGATTTAACTAAAGAAACTAACCTTAAGAGTGGCAGGAACAAGCAGGGAGGGAGAGGGAATGGAATGAAGCACCTATTGTTGTAACTTTGCTGCAGCCTGCGTTAGGTACTGAAATGTCCATAAGGTATTACTAAAATACTTTCTGAAAATGAGGCCTGAAAACCTAATGCAAAGACTTATATGCTCTCTTTGGAGAGCGTTTTAGGTGTGAAGTACTTTGTCTGTAGAGAGAAATCCTCCTCCTCTAAGGAGATGGCTGGAGTGGAGAAAGAAATCACCACTGTAAACACCTAACACTTTGCCTTAATTTGATGTATTCAGAATTAAATGCTAGTGCCAAAGTGGGAGATGCCAAAACATAATGAATAAGAAAAGATTTTGCTGAGATTGTCTTTGTGAAGAAAAGCATGTAGAAATTGCCAATTTGCTTTCCTGGTGCAGCCAAGAAAATTTTGAATTATGATGACTTTGTAGCAGTGGGGAAGGAGGGGTTTAAGATCCGTAATGTTTTGCTTTTTAAGCACTGGTTAATTTTCACCCACAGAAGAATGATAATTGATAAGTTGTGGACATCACGGTTTAGAGCTTGCTTGCATCATGGTGGGAAAGTGCATGCACAGCAGGCAACAAATATTTGTATTTCTTACAAGTTTCAATCTTCTGGCTATAAAAAGTATTCCTTCATTTAATTTGGCTCACTACTTAGATTGGCATATATTTGGAGAATGTAACTATTTAATCAGCTTGACAGAAAATTAAACTCTACTTCTATTTTTAAGCTCAGCTTCAGACTGTAAAAATGCTAATTCTTCTCCTTGAGTCTGAGGATGTTGATGGACGTGCAAAAGTAACAACCTCGTGACAACTCTCATTTGTATAACAAAGTTGAACTGGTCCCCGTTTTAAAGAGACAGTGCTGAACAGCTTTGTAACTTGAGTGTTACTTTAGGTTCCCTTCCCTTGGTCTGATGTGGAGCTCTACATACATGCAATGCTTTAGATATTCACCTATATTTGGTAAAAGAGCATGAACAGCATATTCCAAAAGCAATATACCACATACAGGAATGCTGGTCTTGCAATTTGTTCCTAGAAATATGGTTTTAAGTAGAACATTGCCCATGTATAAATGCATTCATATTCTGAACTACATGAAGGAAGAGTAACCAGCTAGTAGACACGAGATACAGTATAATCAAAAGTTTAGCATTTAAATATTACAATAGGAGGATTTTCAGAAGTTCTAATTAAAGTTCAGCATTCACTTAACACATTTTTGAAATCCAGAATGTAAGGATTTAATCTTAAAACACAGAGGTATCTAGCAGTGATGAATATATGCATTCCCATAGATGTACCTAACTCATGACACAAACAGGTATTACCTTAATTGCATACAAAACCAGATGCTTTTAAAGAGAGACCCACTTCCACAAGCCTGCCTGGAAGAAATAAGAGTGTTTGTGCCCATGAATTCCTTTTTTACCTGCTTTGAGACTGTCCTGGTTCCTACCTGGGAGGCAAATGAGAGGCTTTGAGTGCTCTGCTTTTGTAGTCTGTAAGAACCAGAACAGAGATCTGTCAATTATTGCTGCAGGAGAAAAAATAGCCTGGAATAAAGCATTACAGAAGCACACAAAAATGTACTATTCATAGGTCTATTTTTGTGTTTAATTTAAAACACATTTCCCTTACATAAATAAATAACTGTGTTTGAGATGATGCTTGCATGACTACAACCCCGCTTACTGAATCATAGAACACTTTGGGTTGAAAGGGACACGTAAAGGTCACCTAGTCCGAAACCCTGCAATAAGCAGTCATCTTCAACTAGACCAAGTTGCTCAGAGCCCCAGCCAACCTGACTTTGAATGTTTCCAGAGGTGGGGGCATCCACTATCTCTCTGGACAACCTGTTAGAGTGTCTCACCACCCACACATAAAAAATTTTATCCTTATATCTATTCTAAATCATCCCTCTTTTAGTTTAAAACCATTGTCCCTTTTTCTATTACAACAAGCCCTGCTAAAATTCTTGTTCCCACCTCATATAAGCCCCCTGTAAGTACTGAAAGGCTGCAATAAGGTCTCCCCAGAGTCTTCTTGTCTCTTGACTCGACTCAACCTGACTCCCTCAGCATGTCCTCATGGGAAAGGTGCTCCCTAATCATCTTTGTGACCCTCTTTTGGACGTGTTCCAAGAAGGTCCTTGTCTTTTCTGTCCAGACCTGGATGCAGCACTCCAAGTGGGAGCTCCCCAGAGCAGAGTAGCTATAACAATGTAGGACAGAGAATGTTCAACTTACTGTGCAGCAACTGAGTTTGGCAAGAAGAGGACATAGAAACCAAAGCCCATTAAATCTCTCCAGCACTTCAAATAGAAATTGAAAACCTTATAGGCTAAGTCGTCACATAGGATTTTATAATCGAGTTCGCTTTACCACGGGAAACATCCGCGGGCAAAAAAGAGAAATAAAGGAAAGTTGCTGCAGCTGCTCTGCTGCCAAATTTCCTTCGGTTCAGGAGCTGGAGAACGGCGGGGGCCGGGCCCCCTCTGGCGGACACCTGCAGGGAATGGGAACGGGAACGGCAGCGTGTAGCGCTTCTTCTGCAGACAGGTGTGAGAGACAGGGACAATGACAATGACAATCTCCTCTCCCGCCCAGCTCCATGCAGCGGAGCAGCCGAGGCGTTTCTCAGCAGGGACGCTCCTTTCCCGTACCGGGATCCCCCCGCGCACCTCTGCTGGAGCTGCTCCATGGACGGGAAGGTTTCCTTGGGTTGCTGCTTGTATTTTCCCCTAAAGAGCGGCACTCCAAATTCCACCTGGCAATCGGTAGGTTGCACTGTAATATCAAGATTGGAATCACCTGTTCCTGTTTTCCCATTGAGCAGCTCAATAGCAAAGACAATGAAGCCTTTTATTTGAGTTTACGTTTGTCTCGATTCCCCGCTTTATGCCTACAATACCTGGAATTGTTAGAGACCTGGGTGGTCGCTAATACAATTGCTGGACAGGTGCAAAGTTTAGCTGCCAGTTGTCTTTCTAATGCTTTTTACCATTAAAAAACCTAACCAAAAAAAACCCCAACAAGCAAACAAATGCCAAAAATTAAAGACTCAGAGAGACACCCCCCCCATTTTTTCCCTTTAAATTTCGCTTCATTCACATATTAATGAGTTTTACTTCCTTGAATAAATCAGTCCGTCTCCTAGTTTAATTGTGTACGTCTTTACAACGTGGAGTTATATATTAAACTGGAAAGAATGCACAATGTACCTGCAAACCCACGCGGTTTGAACAGGATGACTCATTTGCACTCCGTGACTCTTTTTACAAACACTGCAGGACGCTTACTCCTGAGGGCAGGCCGATCAACACTGGCAGGATGGGCTGGGGATAACTGGAGTTTTTGCTGATTCCTGCTATTCTGAGCCAGGATCTCAACACAAGTTTCGGACAAGAAAAAAACCAACCCAGAATAGCTTGAGCGCAACACTGTCAGCCTTAGAGAATACATTTTTTTGTCTTATTAATGCTCAAGAGCAGTTAATACCCCTCGGGCCATGGCGCCTCCGGCGGGGGCGGGCAGAGGCACCAGACTGCATGTACCACAATGCATCGCGCGGTGATGGCAGCCCAGTAAGCCCCGCACCCTCCCGTGTGGAACCCTGGGCAGTGTAGTTTTTTCGCGTAGAGCCGCCTGGCGTCTGAAGGGGAAGAGGGGGACCAATGGACTACAAGTCCCATAGGGCTGTGCACCGCCAGCTCTGTGTTGAGGGGACGGGAGGATGGTGTCCGCACCCCCTGGCGTGTGACAGCCCCGCTCGCCGCCGATCCTTGGGCCTGAGGCAGCCACAGCACCGAGGAGACCATGGAGCTTGGCATAGCGGGGGTGCAGCACCGTGCCTGAGGGCGGGCCGGGCCGGTAGCGCCATGGATAGCCGGTGCTATGGGTGCGCGTCCAAGTTCTCTGTCTTCAAGAAAGAGGCAAGTCCGGCTTCGGGGGGTCAGGAGCGTGCCGGTCCCGCGGGTGCCTCTCCCGCAGTGCGAGGGTCGGAGAAGGGAGCTGGGAACTGCTTTGCCCGGCACATCCCGGGCCAGCATCCTGGCGTTGTTGTCCTTGCTTACTGAGCTCTCGTGGTGCCTAATTCTGATATGTCTTAAAATATGGAAAATTACTGACACCCCCCCCCAAAAAAAAAAAAAAAAAAAAGTCTTTGAATGCCATCCCTCTAATTCAGGCTTCTGTCATGGTCTCAGACAGTTCACACGCACACTCGTTATACTATGGGGTGAAGCCGTGACGCAGCTCCCAGCAGGAGTTATGTGCTGGTGCTCCAAGGCTCTTGAGTCTCCGTATCTCCGGCAGCAGCTGGTGAAACAGTTCTGTCACAAAGAAATCCGTCTAACCCCAGCATTAGTTTGTGTGCGCCTCGGCACGGGCACTGTGTCCGCATGCGGCCAGGCCAGGGTGGGGGGTGTGTGGTGCCGAGGTGGTGAAGCCCTGTTCTGCCTCTCTCTCCCGTCTCTGCAGTGTGGCTGCAAGAACTGTGGACGGTCCTTCTGCTCGGGCTGCCGGAGCTTCACTGCTGTTGTTCCCCGCTGTGGAAACACTCAACAGAAGGTGTGCAAGCAGTGCCATGGAATACTAACTGGGTAAGACGGCAGTGTTTCTTACCAAAGGCAGTTTCAAACCCAAACACAGTTTCCTGCTTTTTTTTTTCTTCAGTTCACATTCCATGTCGTGTTGCAGATTTCTGCAGGAGAGCTCTGCCTTCCGTATATGCATGGATGCTGCCTGTACCCCGGAATTTCAAGACAGGACAACTCTGAACTGTTGTTATATGAGTTGTGCAGTCCTAAAATGGGATTCAGGATTTGTGCCTGTTCTGTATGGTTGACAAGATAGTTTGAAAGCGTCAGGTTTAAATCTTCAAGGATGGACACTGAATTCCTGTGGACAGCTTAACTAGATGGGCCAAGGTTAAGCCACACTGTGTTTTTGCCCAGAAATCTGCACCCCTTTAACAGTTCTGTCAGTCTTCTCAGATGTGTATAGTTGAGTAGCCTGACAATAAGATGTTCAAAGTGTTACTACATCTGTGGGCAAACAATGATATAAATCCTCCTTGTTGAGATATCTCTGCTATGTGTGGCCTGAAGACATAAAGTTTTTTACCCTAAAATCTAAAACTTTTAAAATAAAACAAAATTATTTGCAAACATAACCGGTAGACTTGCTGTTGAAAACAAAACTTGTAGTTCAGTAGCAGCAGGATTATAAACTTGAACAAGCAACACAAGAACACAGGTGTACACCAGAATCCCTCTGTCAACCAATTCTTCTGTGTCCTCCTTTTTCTCTTGCATTTCTCTTGTTTCTTTTCCTCACTTTTCTCCTATAACAAGGAATTTTCACCAATGAGGGGGAATTTAGACACCTGGCTCTGCAGGTGTCTAAAGGAGAAGAGCTTCATTAGTGAAGGTCTTCATCTTCATGGGCTGCTGAAAACAGTGAAAGATAGTATTCAGTCTTTTCAGTTTTGAAATTTTCTGATTTCCCTTAACTTCAAAGCCATTAAGAAAAAAAAGGCTGCCTGTCTTGACATTTCTTCTGGGTCTTTTTTTCTCGTAATTTTAATATCAGCACTAGAGAGCTACAGCAGAAAAACAATCTACTCTGACTGGATAGCAGGTAGATTATAGAATCATAGAACAGCTTGGGTTGGAAGGGACTTTAAAGATCATCTATTTCCAACCCCTGTGCTGTGGGCAGGAGCATCTTCCAGTACACCTGGTTGCTCAGAGCTCCATCCAACCTGACCTTGAACATTTCCAGGGATGGCACATCCACAGCTTCTCTGGACAACCTGTTCCAGTGTTTCATCACTCTCCCAAGTAAAGAATTTTTTTCTAGTATCTAATCTAAACCTGCACTCTTTCAGTTTAAAACCATTCCCCTGTGTCCTTTCACTATGTGCTCTTCTAAAAAAGTCCTTCTCTGTCTTTTGGAAGTTTCCTTCAGGTACTGGAAGGCTGCAGTTAGGTCACCCTGGAGCCATCTCTTTTCCTGGCTGAATAATCCAAATTGTCAGCCTTTCCTTGTAGGAGAGGTGCTTCATCCCTCTAATCAATTTGGTGGCCTCCTCTGGACCTGCTCCAACAGGTTCACGTCCATCCTGTGTTGGGGACCCCAGAGCTGGATGCAGCACTGCAGGTGGGGTCTCGTGAGAGAGGAATAGAGGGGTAAAATCCCCTCCCTTGCCCTGCTGGCCACTCTGCTTTGGATACAGCCCAGGACACGTTTGGCTTTCTGGGCTGTGAGAGGCACATTGCTGGGTCATGTCCAGCCTCTCATCCACCAGCACTCCCAAGTCCTTCTCAGCAGGGCTGCTCTTGATCTGCTTGTTCTCCAGCCTGTGTTGATACCAGGAGCTGGGTTGCACCAACCCAAGTGCAGCACCTTGCACTCTGTCTCGTTTAACCTCATGAGATTCCCAAGGCAGGCCCCACTTCCTGAGCTTTCCAGGTCTCTCTGGATGGCATCCTGTCCTGCAGGTAATACACAGAGGCTGCAGTTCTGTAAGCTGCATATGTTGTTGTTCTTCGTGCCCAATAGCTTTCAGACCTGAAGCTTCAGAACTTTGGAAAGTGTTCCAAGAATGTTGCATTCAGTCATTACTGTATGGGCCTTAACTGTGATTTCTAAGAACAAATAAAATATGCTGACTAACTTACATAATGTCTAGTTTAGTCCCTCAGCCTGAACACAGCAAAGTAAAAGAGTTACAGTGTTCAAGTGTTCTGGGAGATGTTATATAATAATTTTCATAATGGTTTGTTTTACTTGTGCATTATATAATTCTGTGTTTGTTGCATGCCCTGGCTTCTTCTAGAGTGTCCTGCTGCATGGAAGCTAATTACACTGGGAGTCTTGCCTAAGTATTCCCTACCTGCTCTCTGACCTGGGAGGTGCAGGCTGTGGGAGGCAAGGGTATTTCAACCCCACCCCTTTGGATCACTGGTGACCATATTAAATCACATTTTGTCCAGATGCAAAACAACTGGACTAAAGGACAGAGATGAAGTCTCCTGCTGTCCTGGGAAGCTGTATTATCTTAATCCATTGCATAAGCTAATTCCTCTCAGTATTAATGAGGTTAAGAAGAGGGCTGTACCAAGAGATCAAGAAACACCTATTGATTCCTCTTGACATGAGAGACTAGATGATTGTCAGCATTATCAAGTATTGTCAGTATCTTGAGTTCAGAGAAATAATTTTTGTCTTTCAGAGAAGGATCTCAAAGCAGTTCAGCAAAATGGTCACCACCAGAAAACTACAAAAAGTGAGTTGCACTTGCCAGGCAGTTCTTTCTACTGCAGACAAGCCTTTTAGGCCCTCCTCTTCCCCTATGGATACCATCAAAAGTGGGGCTTCTGGTAGGGGTATTTGCTTGTTCAGAGTTAGATTAAGGGTGGAGCTTTTGTTTTGCTGTTTGGATTGTTAGATTATTTGGAGGTGTGGGGGGTATGCTCTTTTGAATAGACTCCTGAATAGCCACCTGCCTGCAATTATCTACAGCTGATCAGAGTTGGCTTGGAAACAGGAACCTTGTGTTGAAATGTTCCTTGTCTCCTGGGAAGTGCTGCCAGGTGTGCTGCTCTTGTAAGCTAAGGTTTTCCTTGCTCTTAGGACTACTTTATTGTGCTCATATTGGAGAGAGTGGTTTTACTTCTGTTCTGCACTGGCATTCTTTAGATAGCCTGCTGGGTTCACAGAGGTTGTTTTCTTATCTCCGGGTTAAAATCCCTGTTCTCAATTGTCATGTATTTTTTCCATCCTTGTTACAGGCGTGTAGCAGCTTTTGAGGCTAAACAAAACCAGCTGAAAGACCAACAGAAGGCAGCTGCAAAACCCCCAGGTCAAGCAGGCTGCAGATACCAGGGGCTCTCAAAAGAGGATAGAGCTATTGCAGAGAGACTGGAGAGGCTCAGGGAGGAAAGGAAACCAAGTGAGTTTTAGAGAATACCATAAATACCTTGGGTGGGAATACTACTATTTGGGAAACAAGGAGGCTGGAGGGAAGGGGAAGTGCTGGGCTTTAAGAGGCTGTGATATTAGGGGGTTGAAGGCTTAAAACAGGACAGAGCATCCAAGTTCTGCTGCCATAATGTTCAACTTCTACAATGATTTTAGATTAATGTACTAGTTTCATTTTGCTTCTTGAAAATACTTCTTGAAAGTACTACTCAGTTTTGGAGCAGCGTCTAACCTGTTAAATCACTTTCTCATTTTCCATTTTTGGGGATAAAAACCCACTTGGAGTAGAATGAAATGAAAGTCTTTGGCCAAACTATTTCGAAGAAGGTTTCCTGTGAGTCACTGACTTGGGCAACAGCAGTTCCACTCTCTGTGGAATTATGTTCTGACCGGCCTTGTCTCACAGAGAAGGAAAAGGATTCTCATTCAAGCCCACAGCTGCCAGGTTCTGGGACTGCTTTGCTGGGACTGCACTGAGATGCAGCATGCAAGCATGCATTTGTTGCTTGCATGAGAATAAACTATTTTAAATGCTATATGTGGTCTCTAAAAGAAAAAGAACACTCTTCAGAGTGGATACCTGGCTATCATAGAATCATCAAGTCCAACTGTTAACCCAGCACTGCCAAGTCCACCAGTAAACCATATTCCAAAGTGCCACATCTACACATCTTTTGAATACCTCTGAAGATGGTAACTCAGCCACTTCCCTGGGCAGCCTTTTCCAGTGATTGACAACCCTTTCTGTGAAGCAGTTTTTCCTAATATCCAATCTAATCATCTCCTGGAATAACTTGCAGCCATTGCCTCTCGTCCTTTATGTGGCAGGGGAGGGTTTCAGTCTGATAAGGCTGGGATTGCATTAGGAGATGTGGGACCAATGGACTGAACTGCCTAAATGACACTTGTTCCTCTGCCTGTCCCTAGAATCCCAAGTCAGCTGATTTCCAGATGATATCATCTTATACTTGTGTTATGGCTGGGAGATAAAACTGTGAAGGAGTCAAGGACTTGGAAAAAAGGGATAGCAGTTAGCATCAGGGTAGTCTCTGAGTCATTGCAGTATGACCCCTCATTCATGTGAGGGCTGGGAGGAGTTTTTGCTCAGGTGTTCAAAGTCTGATTCCAGAAAGAAGTACAATTTTAAGGAAAAAAAACATGTAGCTTTTCATATTCAATAACAGAATGTTCTTCTCACTTGGGTGAATTTCAGAGTCCATCCCCACTCAGGCTGAGATCGAAGCTAGGCTGGCAGCCCTGAAGGACGATGGCCGAGGACCTGTTCCATCCACACAGGAAATGGAGGACCGGTTGGCTGTCCTGCAGGGGAGAGATCCTCCTTCCCAAGCTCCCAGACCTGTAAGCTCCCTCAGCTCTTTAGTCAGCAATTTATTCTGAGCTGACACAGTAACTGGTGTCACAGCATGCTAGCCATTCTTCCTTCTTCAGCTATTTTTGTGTCCAGGTAGCTTCCTTCAGAAATCTCTGTTTCCTGATTTTGTCATTGCTCCAGAAGCAAATTACCAGCCTTTAGCAGTTCACTGCTTCAATTTGAATGCAACATGTTGTGCCAGATGTAGTTCGTGTGTATATTTTTCACACTAGATGCTAAGGCTTTTTACTCTCAACTCATTTATGTACCTGAGTGGTCATAGTTTTTCAGAGCTGTTTATGTTGGAGGCTTATCAGCCCTACCTTTTAATTACATCTTCTGCTTGTTACTACATACCAGCTGGGCAGAATCCTGTTAATTTTTCCAGAAATGTAAGCCCAGCATGATTTGTTTGAGCTTGCAGGGGAATCGGTTGCATATATGCCTTGAAAGCCTATAGGGAAGATCTTGTCCCCTAAGATACCATTTCCTAATGGTTCTTTCAGCTGCATGTCCAGCTGCTGTCATAGATCTCTGTGGGGCTGCTGGCTGGCACTGTTGAGAATGGCACTTTACACTGGAGGTAGTGGCAGAGCTAGAGTTGGGACTCAGGAGCATGTACTCCTACACATTCAGCACCCCTTTGTCTTGTTTGGGTGACTGCTCTTAGAGCTGTGTGCATTCAGCACCTCTGAAAATGAAACCCTTGCAAATCTAAACTGAGATTCTCAGTGTCAGTGAAGGCATCTTTGTATGCTGCTCCCATCTTGGGTTATCTTGGTTGCCAAAATTCTCCTTTGATTGAGTATGCCACTTTCCTCTCATTTGTCTTTTCCCACACTGCCCTGGTTTCTCAGGTACACCAACCTCCTGATACCCGAAGTCTGGTCCAGCAGACAGATGACCTGTTAACTCAACTGTCAGAGGAGGTTGCCATTGATGAGCATCACAGACCAAGAGTTCAGCCTCAAGGTATCTGTTTTGGCTTCTAAAGACCTGTTTATGTCTAGTCATGTATGTGCTATGCTGAGAAGGGAATTTGTGCCTCCCTGTGTAACTTACATGTGAGCTGAGTGTCCAGTTTGTCCATATTTCCCCTTATAATCCCCCACACTGACCAAGAGCAGCCATTTGGCTTCACACTGGATCTCAGTGTCTTTGCTTGGAGAAGGGTCCTTCTTATCAGGGTTTTAGTATTCAGATTCTCTGTTTCTCTAAAGTGACTTCTCCCTGTTGCTACTCCTAATGCACCTGTGCACTGTTCCAAAACATCAGAATCTGGCATACCATTATCTTCCTGGTTGCATTGATTTCTCTGTAATCTCAGAGAATAGCCAATTTTCTTCTCTTCATATACAGTGAAGATCCTACTGGCATGTGTTTTCCTCTTGTTATCCAGTTTCATGGAGAGCAGCAAGCTGTTCTCATAGCATTATTGGTCATATTTTCTGTGCCCAAGGAACATTGCTGCTGAGTCACCAGTGTGTTCTGTGTGTCTGTCTGCAGCTGTTAGTAGCCAAAGTTTGAATGATCTCAATCGGGAAAGTGAAGATAGTGTTTGCCCTGCAAATCTGGACCCAAAACAGCTAGAGGAGGAGAAGAATAAACTTCTGGCAGAAGCTGCTGCTGAGCTGAGGGAAGAGAATACTAGGCAGGAAAAGATCCTACAGGTTGCCAAGAGACTGGCAGCGCTCAAAGGCGAGGATCCAGAGAAAGGTGGGTAGCAGATGAGAATACAGTGCCAAGAGATTAATCAAGTTGCTATGACAGAGTAAATTCTTTATTAATGTTTATCCATTTAATCCCTTCATTCTGCAAGAAACAGACTGAGATTTGGTTCTGTCTGCAAAGTTGTACAGGTTGGTTTGTCATGAAATCAATATGAAAGTTCTAAGGTGAGGCTGAAGGCTGGGACTGTAAGGTCAGACTGTTTTGTCTTGCACCCTTCTTTGGGATAATTCTAGCACACGCTGGTGAGGTTAACAAAACTTTTAAAACCACAACTCTGGTTTTGGTGGGGATCTTTTCCTTCTCTCTTCCAAGTATTAAAAATAAACAGTAATGTTCTTTTTGAGGAATCTGCACCTTAACAGGTCAGAGCCAGAATGCCACAGCCAGCTCACACCACAAAAATTGGTACATTTGGTACTCTGGTACATTACTGGGCACAAGGCTTGAGACGGGTGTGAGTTACAGTCTCACATTTCTTACTCCTACAGTTACACTGGAAACCTATAAGCTCCCTGACAGTGATGAGGAAGTGGCTGAGGAAGAGGCCATTCGCAGAGTGCTGAAACAGGTCAGAAGTGCAGCAGCTGTTTTATTTCCTCGTGGTTATGCCTTGTGTGTGTGTTATCTGGTGAGCGTACAAAGGATGTGTTTCTGTTCCTGAGAATAGTTTTGTTCCTTACTTTCCTAGTTCTTTTCCAATACTAGCTCCCATGGGCCATTCAACTATTTAACAGGCAATTGACAACAGTATTTCTGGTCTTTCTCATTCATGCTTAACGTGTCTTTTGGTCTGCATGTGTCTCCTGTGTAACCACGTTTTGCTGGTACTTCCTCACTTCTTGTTCTGTGTTTTCCTCCAGCCAGTTAGAACATGGATAATGAGATGTGTGCCGTGTAGCTCATCTTACATCTACATTTCTCTCTAAAATGTCTCTGAATTGTCTTACAGGCAGACCTGAACTTAAGTTTGTCTGATACGTCACATGTGTTGTGATTAGCATGATGCTGAGGGCCTGCTGGCTGCACTGCAAAGCAGAGTGTGTGAGCTGCAGGCCCCAGCTGCTGCAGACTGTCCACAATGGACACACAGTGTACCAAGTGCAGAGCGACCTTACATCTGTCTGTGTAACCCCAGCTGTGTTCAGACTTGTCATCTCCTGTTACTGCATGAGAGCAGCAAGTGCAGGAGGTTTAGGGCCTAGAATGAGGCTCCCAGCTGTGTTTGAAACAAGAGATTTTTTGCTTTGTGTTGTTACCAGCTCACAGAGGAAGCAGCCCTGGATGAAGCAAGTGGATTCAACATTCCCCCAGATCAGACTACCCCACCAGGACCCTCACAGCAGAACCTGTGTAAGAAAGCAAAGCAAAAGGTCAGTGAACTGGTCAGGATCTCTTGAATCGATATCTCGAATGTTCCGGAGTGCCAGGAGAATACAGTTCTGCAGCAAAAGTTTGTTGTATCCTAGGCTTGATGTAGAAAAAAAATTAACCAACCAGTTTCTCCAGAGCAAACAAGCCAGGCAGCTTCTGCAAGGCTGACCAGCTCTGAGCTCAGCTGTGAATCATCCTTATAAAAGGAATTGTTCCCTGGATTACAGTTCCTTTCAGGCTGGCTTTGTCTTGAATGTTTTGGTAAACCAAGAGAAGTCGGTAGACACCTCACAACATGGATATTAGAGAATTATATATATGTATATTTTGATCAACAAGGCCATGGTCTAGTACCATACAATCTGAACCAGAGTAAATGGGAGGTATTCCAGTGCTTTCAGCATGTGCAGAGTAGAGCCTCGAGATAGTATTCTACTGTTCATGTTCTCATATAATGTCAGAAGAAGGAATTAGTAGCAGGATATCCTATGCTCAGAGTTGATTCTGGCCTACTGTGGAAATATGTACATGATCTGTAATGAATATTGCAAGAATTAAATGCACCTGTGACTCAAAGGCACCTGTCAGGCCTGCTCCCAGTGGAAGAAATTATATAATTGTAAGCATTATCAAAAACATCCACCTCAGGTATGACACCTTACATTTCTGGGATTACTGATGGAAAAGATAGTGTTAGGAAAAGATGGTGTCAGGAAGCTGCCTTTGCCTTTGCCAAGCACTGTGTCTCACTGTGTTTTCGTTCCACAAGAGTTCTCTGTAAAAGAGAAGGGAGACTGTAGTTGGCTGTATGGATATATTTAGATTATGATTTCAAAAGATCTTTTTGTCTCAGCCTCAGGTACAAATGAATAGTAAGGGCCTTTTGGCACAGTACTTTCTTTGTCCCACAGTTTCCTTTCTGCAACAGGGAGAAAACAATGCCCCCACCTCCACATTCCTTTCCCTTCCCACATAGCCCCTTTCAGCACAACTGTTTGATCTCTTGCTTTTGCAGCAGGAATTGTCTGTCACATGGTATTGTTGTGGTGCCTGTCAGAATATCTGGGCTTTATGCCCTTAACACAGCTCACACGATGTGGGTGTACGTCACTGTAGACACTAAATGAGGCTGAATACCTGTTTACGTTCCAGCAACATAGATTCAAACCCAAATTCTAGCAAGTACCTTGGGGTTTTATTTAACAATCTCGATGCATATGGAGCCTGTCCCTGCGCTCTGGGCAAGTCCATCTCACAGACTTAGGATGAACAAGGAAGAAACTGTGGACCGTGGGACAGGTCACCGTGGCCCTCATGCATTACAGTTAAAGTCCTTTATTGTCTGTGCTGGGGTTTGAACGCTCTATCTCTTGTTTTCTGTGTGAATTAGAGCCACACTTCAGCCACCACAGCTCTTGCAAGGGCAGATGATAGTGATGAGGATGAGTTACCCTGGTGCTGCATCTGCAACGAAGATGCCACTTTGCGCTGCCATGGCTGTGACGGAGACCTCTATTGCCAGCGCTGTTTTTGGTGAGTCTTGCAATTCCCCTAGGGCTGAGAAGTGGGTCAAAGGTAAGCTTGGCCCCTTTTGTATGTTTTTCTCATTGGGCAGGAAAACAGGCAGTAGGAGGCAAGATTTGAGGAATCCAGATTTGAACTGAATGCTAGTTGTTAGAGAAATACTTTGTGTGATCAGTAGTTGTTCCAGGCTTCGGGGACTAAACTGGTTCTTGTCAGAAATGCTTCAGTGCATGTTTGGGCACATTGTCTGAGTGTTCTCTGGAGCAGCTGATGTGCTGCATTACGTGGGATGGGATAAATGAGACCATTGTTCAGTGACTCCTATGGCTTGTTAATGCCATTGATGGATGACCTGGGCTGGATTCCCTTAAAGGGGGAGATCAGATAGTATGAATTCCTGAGGCTTTTCTTAGGTTGAGACTTTGCAATCCTAAGCCATATTAAAAAATTCTTCATTGAAATATGTGAGCTTTTTTTCGCCAGTCAGGCTTTGCAGCAGCTGTAGTCTTGGTTCTTCAAACATGTGTAGCTTGATTTTTGACCAAATTTTCATGTCTTAGATTTGGAGGGTTAATTCCTTTGAATACAAAGCTATTCCTAACAGGTTCTGTGACTTCTCTTTTTTTCATGCCTCAAAAGTACTGGGTAGTTGGCTGGGTTCTCAGATTAGTGCTGGGTCATTAAGACAGCAGGTTGCTAAACATTTGGTTGGGATAACAAGAGATGCTTTTGTGCATATTCTCTCATTTTATGCAAATGTATTTTTAGGGAAATGCAAATGCAGTTGGAGAAAACCGTATTAAAATGTTCAGGAAACATATGACTGGCAATGTTAGATTATTAAAAACAAAGCATACAAACAAAAGTATCTGACAGCAAACGTCAGTAAAATCAGATTTAACAGTCTGGCAGGTGGGTGTATCAGCCACACGCTGTGGATACAGGCTTGTATCTTACTCAACACTGAGCATGGTTACTCAACTCCTGACCATGGTTAAGACAGCTGCCAGTACACTGCATTACTTTCAGTTATTTTCCAGAGTTTTCTGGAGGATACTGTCATTTTGTCTGCTGTCACAGTTGCTAATGTCACTGGAATCACGGACACAGTGCTGAAAATGAGCCATGAGTTACATTAATCTCTTCAAGAGGGAAAGAAACAGAAGGACCTATTGTCATTTTCAAATCCAGCTGAAAAGGATGAGCAGACCTTCCCATAAAACACCTCAGAAATATCTTAAGTAGCTTGTCCACGTGGCTGCCAGGCAGGTCCTCACAGCCAACCCTTGGGATAAGTTTCTGGTTAAGGGCTGCTGGGAGATATCTTGTGCAGTGACTAAGGGTGAGTCCCTGGCCTGGGTATTTACTTCTGACTGCACTTTGTGTTTGCCTCTTAGGGAAGGCCATGAGGAGTTTGACCTGAAGGACCACCACACCTCCCGCTATCATCTTCCTTGCAAACAGAAGTGATCACACTCTTCATAGGCAGAAAAGGAGCTGGAGAATGGGAAAACAGAGGAGCCGGCCAGATGGAAGAATCCACGTGGGTTTGCAGCCAAAACGGGTGATGTTTTGGACAGTTAAAGGATGTGCTGTAATCTGAGAGAGGCTTGGAGGGCATGTGACTGTCTTCACAAATACACCTGAGAAGTGCAGGGTTTGCTGGGCATGCTTGGGGATAAATGAGGACTTGATATGAGGAGGTGGATATAAGTCCATAAATACAGATGGTAAAGCCATGTGGGTAGCAGTAAAGATGTGTGTTTAAGGCAATACTGACTGGCTGATAAATCTTCCTGCTTTTACTAACAGCTTGTACACTTGGTTCAACAGGCAGCAAAGCACTTTGCACTGAGAAAAATGTCTGCATTGTGATCACATGTGTGATGAGAACTTTCAAAGCATAATAAAAATTATTTATTATAGAGGCCTCTGGTTAAAGTCTCTCCTGAAAATGCCTGATAGCCCTTAACTAAGTGTTGTTTTCTTATTATGGTATGGTAGTCCTAGTGTCAATTGGCTTAGGGAAAGAAATGAAGAATAGTGAAGTCATCAAAAACGTTTTTGTGGCGTATCTGGAAAAGATGCAGGGCAGTGTTGCTCACTGACTTGAAAGGAAAGATCCTTTCAAAAGGTTATCTGCTACTGATCCAGTGTTGTGGCCTGCAGTGGCTGTGCCAAGGTCATGTCATCCGTAAGAGCAACATGTTAGTCTGAAAGAGTTGGGTGTTAGTCTGAAAGCAGGATTTGACTTCATGTATTATTTGGTCCCTGGTAGGATAAAGATGTTACCTGTGTGATGCTCTTCATCTGGTTATGAGAGAAGTTCAGTTGCATATGTCCATATCCCTCCTGGGATATCCAGATGCAAGTGGCACTTGCCAGTGCCCAGAACACCCAGAATTGCTTCAAATACCCAACTAAATTGGCTGTACACATGCTCTATTATTCCATCAAGATGGGCTTTTTCCAAATAATGTGATTTCTAAGAGAGCTCTCTAAGGCTGACAAATTCCAATTGCAACAAAATAAAGGATTTGCCCTTGACAGGGAATTTCCAATGAATCTTGCCTATCTGGTTTGACACTGCCACTCCCAGCTGTCTGCCTTGCCCCCGTGCTTAAGGTCAGTGCCTCCGAGGTGAAGTGATGAAATGGTGTTTGCCTGCACCTCTGGTCAGAGGACAACAAATGAATTAAACCACTCTTGAAGGTGGGTTTCTGCTAACGTGCTGCTCTGGATCAGTCTCTTTACCAGCAGCCTGATTCAAACAATGCAGAATAGTAATACTTTAGGTTAACACACCTAAAAATGACAAGCGTATCCAGTAATGCCATCAAAACATTTTCTTAGGAAGGAGTGGAAAAACCTGATTTCTGTGGAGAATCTTCTTTGTCCTGGCAGCCCTTGCTTCACCAGTGCCTGTCTCCTTGGGACAGGTAGATGGGAAAACTACTTGAATTGTTCTGATGCAAGAGCTCACAATTAACCCTGTATTAGACAAAATTTAAGTTACATCTGTGAGGAACTTGCGGTCTTAAAAGTCAAAACAAAATGCTCTTCTTTATTTATGTTACCATAGGAGTGACACTTTTTCATTGCTATTTCATGTGGATAATTAGTCTGATAGTAAGGCAGCCCAATTCTGTCTGAGGCTAAATCCTTTCATGTTTTACATATGCAGGGGAAGGTGCAACTATCTGTTCTTATTTCTTTCCTGAATTGATCCACTGCTTTGGGCTTCAGCCTGTGTCTTCTCCAAGCAGTTAGTAGTAATTTTGTTTCTTGATTTACAGATGCTGATTTTTTCAATATCTTAGTATGAGCTGGTATGATACTTGCAACATTTTGAATGTTTCATCAGCAACAAGAAAACTTTGAGCTCCCTTGCAGTTAGGCAGCCTCTGTCTAATATGCCCTGCCCTGCTCACATCAGTAGTAATGAAGCAGGTTGCAGCTGGAAGCAGTTTATTTAGATTCCCAGGTTGGTTTCTGTGGGGCCATCCCAAGGAATCCAGAAATGCACCCAACCCATTACCTGAAATAGAACTTAGTCATACATGGAAGAGTCTCTTCAATCATACAGACACACACTGCTGCTTTCCCTGCACCACTAATGGACATTTTTGTGGCTGCTGCACTTTCTGCATGTAATGGGCCATTTCAGTAGTAGCCCAGTCACTTTCCCCTGAAAAGCCGTTCCCACTGTAGCTGTTGCCTCAGTGAACTCCGTACAGGAGGGGCAGGGGGGTATCCATATGGGCAGGAAGCACGCCTAGCTGAATCTGTTGTGAAAGAGGAATGCTGCATGACCTTTAAGTGGGCAGTGCACTGTTAGCTGTGTCACTTACTCCATATCCTTGTGTTTGAAAAGGTGCTGGTAAACAAAGATACTGGTAACCAATCAATTCCTGACAGGCCAGATCAAGATTCAGTCATAGATGTTCAAGAACAGAAGACAGCTTGGCACCTTCCAGAAAGAGATTCAACTTGTTTGCTCTTGTCTTTGTAACAAGTCATGAGGGAAAATGAGGTTTTCTTTCCCCCTCAAAATGTTTTGTATGTGAATTATCAAATGCAGGCTCCACTCCAACAAGAATTCAAATTAGAAAAGCTCTATGAAGCTATGAACTTTCATAGATTGAATTATCTTGGTATAATCAAGAGGGCAAAGTTCCTTTCAAGCAACATTCTTAGATAGTATCTACATACTTACGCTAGTGGTGGTGCTGAGAAACAGCAAAGTTAACTGAAAGATGTTTGTAAAGAAATTTTTCAAGCATTGATTTTAATCTATCCTTGTGGTCTAGTGTGAGAACAGCCAAAATGTATATCAAACCAAGTATGGTTTACTACTGTTTAAGAATGAAACAAAAAAGAAGTTACTCCAATTACCTTATGTTGATTTTTCTTTTGCACCAGTGAGCTGAGAAATCATCTACCCCTGGCCACATGTTGCCTTGCTCCCCTGATCTCACTTGCTCACGTGCTCAGTTGAAATGCTCTCAGGTATCATTATGTATCAGAATTCCTTATGGATCAGAACCAATTGCATGTGATAGGGTCTGCAGCTTACTCCTTTCCTGCTACTTGCAGAATAAGAATAAAGACAACTTTGGTCAAGCAGAGTTGTCAGAACCTGCTTTGTCTTTGATTCTAACAATATCTACCTTAAAGTACAGACAAAAATTCTTTTTGCATCACTCCATATTGAGGAAATACAGAACAGTGCCCAGGGGGGAGAAACTATTTCTCTTGGGCCAGAGGAGAGGCATGTCATGTCTTTGTGCTGCTGCAGCTCAGCAGAATAAAACAAAGCCTGTTGGTGGTGTATGTAAGTAATCTGAATGTCTATACTACCGTGCTGTAGCTATTTGCATCTCTAGTTTAGGACAATCTCCTCATGTCCTGTCCACCGAGCTCTTCCACCTGAACTTCTCTTTGAGCCTACTCTTTTTTTACCAATGCTCAGAGCTTTTTGTCAGTATGCTGCTCTCCTTTCTCAAGGGGTGTGTTGACATGAGTCAAGACATGAGTCTTAGCACGTGTCATCCATAAGCAGTGCCAGATCTGCAACCATTGCAGCTCTGGACTTAATTTTTTTGTTGTTATTTTACTTAAAAAGTTGAGATTTCATGAGGGTAGGCGTGTCCCACTACCCCCTTTTTAAAAGCATGCCAAAATTGGCATGTTCCCAGGGCTACCAAAGATACATATTGGACCTGATAAAGAAAGACCATATTTCCATCCTAGTGGAACATCTTGGAAAGCCTTAGAACAAGACATGAGGTCCATGGCTTGCCAAATTTCAGTCAGATACAAGAGCAGCATGTGGAATGAAGCAGGCCCTTACATCACAGTTGTTACTGCAGTTTGGATTTTGTCCTCTCAGAGGACAAACCCACAGTTTGTTCACTGACACCTGGAAAATAGGAGGAAAGAACAAAATAATAGTCATCACTCTGCTACTGATAAAGATGGAAAGACTAAGGCATTTAAGATATTACCAGTCCAGCCCAGCCCAAGAATCCTCGTTTGTCTTTGTTAGCTAACCTGCACATCCCTCTGGTTCCATAGTTGGTCCTTTCTGCCTTGGCTCACCAAACAAACAAAAGTTGTACTCAAAAGCTGGCCTTGAATATTCTGCTCTGTAGGAGCTCCTCTGGATATGAGTCAGACTCATCCCTTGTGTTTGCATGGCAGGCATCAGCATAGAGACAGGGCATAATGTGAGAGTGCTCTGCCTAAGCCATCAGCCTCTGTTTGCTGTCTTATTTCCTAGTCACATGTGTCAAGTTACTGACTTGCTAAGAGGCTGGATGTAGTTTCCTCTGTATTTTTCCAGGCAAACATTAGTTGTAGCCAGAAGAGTTTGTGCAGCAAGGTACTGTGCCCTACTTCACTGCTCGTTTGTGAGACCTACCTGTCTGCAAAAGACTCACTCTGAGATGCTCCCTGAAGAAAAGTTGGGAGCAGGTATTTTTTTACTTCAGGTTTTTCTTTAGTATCTAAAGAGAGAGCAAAAATAAGCAGTGCATGGCTGGTTTTCTCTGTTTTAATATAAAATAAGTATTTTTCCAACATCTTTTTAAACTAGGAGAAAAATCATTCCCAGACCTTGTTCCTTTAGAAAGGCTTCTAAGTCTTAAGTCTTAAATTCCACAAAAAGGAAAAAAAATTAGTCATTAGCCTTAGCAGCTGTTTCACAAACTTCCCCTTAAGTAGACCAGGTGCACTCAAAAATTTTCCTTCCATCCTATCATATGCTTTCTGTCCAACCTTCATAAATAACAGAGGCTTAATAAGACTTACAAAGTACTTGCAATGCTGTGGAGTCAGGTACAGCAGTAACAGGCAGGACATCACAGTTGGGTCCAAGCCAGACTGAAATGAGGTGCAGCTTAACAGTGGCTGATTTTCCATGTTGATGAATGAGTGATAACCAATGCCTTGTTTTCCTTGCAGTGGGTGAAAAAAAGAAGTCTTGATGAGCTCCCAAGAACTGTATTCAGTGCTCCTTGGCCAGCATGGAAATTCTAGAAGAATCTAAAGGAGGGACATCTTGTCCTGTTCCTCAGGTTAACACACTCTTTAAGAATCAGGACAATGTACAATCTAGCTCCCTGCTGTGTGTGTACATCTGGAAGGAGTGGAGACTTCAAACTGCTGGTACAAAGTTCACAAACTTGGTGATTTTTCTCAATAATAATAAGTCCTAAACATATTCAGAAGTCCTGTTGCTGATCCTGGTTTTTGTGAGGAAGATACACATTTCCTTGTAACCAAAGTTGGGTTTTCCATGAGAGCAAGGTCATTTCTTCTGAGGATTGGTGACTCTCCGGAGACCTCTCAATCGACTAAGCAATTCCGTGATGAAGTCCTGCAATAAGAATTGGTTGAAGAAGGATGTCATATTAATTCCAGTGTTCACCAGCCCCAGGAGTACTATGGTGTTTCCATCATTCCCACATTCACCCTTGCATTGAGCAGAAACCAGAATTCTGACATATTTTGAGCAAACCTATATTTTAGCTTAGGAAAGGAGAGCTTGTGATGGATGAGAAAGGTCTAAAACCTCCTCCCCTTCCCCTATCTCCCTTTGGAACAGCCATGTTTACTTTCTCCTCAGGAGGTAGCCTGACCCTCTTCATCCCAGATACCTGTTTTTCCCACTGTGAGATGACCTCAGGATGCTGTTGTTCTCTTTTAGGTTACACTGTTTCCTGTTGCCACCATAACCTCCTGCCCACTTCTATTGCCCTCCCAATCTAGGGCAAAGCAAGCTGTCCCTCTTGTTGAACCAGTAAAGCTCCATGTTGTGAATTGCAAACCATCCTGGAGCTGTGCCAGTTCTACAAGGAAGTGGCTGGCAGAGAAGAGGTGGAGCAAAACATGTAGGACTAATGATAACGTTGAGCAGGGGTTGAGGACAGGCAGAGCAGATAGATGAGCAGTTAAAGGAGACAAACCCTGACTACTTTGCTGACACAGCCAAGGACTATGAACTAAACTGGCCTATCTGGTTATTCCAAGCAGAAGGCAATGTGACTGGTGCAAACTTTACCCTCTGCATGGCAAGTAACATCACCATAAAGGAGTGTGCAGCCTTTCTTACCTAAAAACGTAGCTGCATGTTCTTGTAATTAGGCAAGATCACTGGAAGTATGGCAGCTTGTTACTATTTGTGCTGTGTGGAAACCTAAAGTACTCACTTGGGTGATCAGAGGTTGCCATAATATGCTCTGGAAGTAAATGCCTGGTATCATACATTCCTTTTCAGTCAGTCCTTTCAGTTTCTTGTCTGCTTTCTGCAGTTAGATTGCTGTGATCTTTCAAGGGGACTGGATTCAAGATCTCCAGGGTGAAAGTAGTGTTTTTGCCCATGGGGCAGCAGTATCTGTCCTCAGCAGGTACTGTAGTGTCCACAAGGCACTTTCATGGTTTATGACTTAGGAGGGCAAACTGTCTTCAGTTATCACTCTGGGAATGTGAGATTCTTGCCTCAGATCTGAAATTCAGACCTCTGAAAACTATTCCATATTACCAGCTTTGCTAAAACCCATGCTAGGAGAGTATCTGTGATGATTGCTACAGCCCAGTTTAATTTTAGTGATATTAATTGTGATTCAGTGATTGAATTTCAGTCATGCATTCATCTCATTTTCATCTCATGTTCATCACTGTACAGCCACATCAGCTCAACAACACTTGGAGTCTGATGGATGATGTGCAAGCAGAATGTTCACCTGCAGTGCATGTGGCTGAAGCAGTGATAGGGACCACATTTTGCACAGTTTGCAGTACAGCAAAGGCAATCCCTGTATGGTGCATGCACACAGAATTGCCTCCAATCATCTGGATGCTGTGGCATTTAACTGTCTAATTCAAAGTCAAAACTTGTAAAGTTACATGGGGGAAAAAAAAAATCCATGTGTAAAACTAACCTACATGGCCACTGCTCAGCAATTATCTTCCCAGTCCAACCTAAAGCCATTCTACATTCTTGTCAATCATAACCCTATAGTGTTTTAAGCTAAGAATGCTTTTTGTTAACAAAAAGTGTAAAAAATGGCTCTGTGAGCTATGTCACTATCTATGTCTTTTCTACACTGAGGATCAAATAGCAACTCAGACTGATCAGCTTAGGATGTCCAAAACATGGAAAGAACTTCCTCTGATTGTAAAGCATGATTCCTTATTTGCTCCAGTGCTCTGCCTTCAGTTCATCCATGTGAATTTTATGTAATTTTACAATCATAAAATAAATTGGCAAACACCTCCCATTATGAATAAAGAAATCTGCAGCATGGTAGTGTCTTGGCTACTCAGCAAAGCAGTGATAAAGACACTGTAACAGAATAGTACAACATGTATGATGTAAATGTATATGGTGCTTCACTCACCTCTGTGGGGCTGGAGCACTCATGGAGGATTTCCTAAAAAAACAAGGAATCGTCATTTTAGTATTTGATGAGTTGATCAAATTCTCCCCTCCCTACAAAAAGGAAGGCATAAGACAGCATCATGCAACACTACAAACACCTATTCTCAACCCCATATGCCACTAGTCTTCATGAAGGAAACTTCACAGACTTAAAGTCACCAAGTTCCTCTATCTGACCTGTAATTTTAATTTCTGTTCTTCATTAGGGACCTCCAGGAGATCTTCAAGATCAATTTGTGGTTCAGGAGCTGCTGCTTCTGTTTCCTCCCTTAGCTAAAAAGCAAAAAAACCACCAGAGTTAATTAACCTTCAAACTTCTAAGAATTCTAGAGACCATCTTTGAAGAACTAAGCAGCTGAGTTACAATAAAACTATGCTGCAAAATTGAGGTCAAGATATAAATCCTCTCAAAAAAGTGAGGTTCTTATAATGAGGGCATGGATTCCAGCCCCTTTGTGGTGTCTCCTGCAGCCACACATCCTGATGTACACATTCTTCTTTTCCAATTTTTCCATCAGTCTTTTCCAACTACTACACTGCTCAGGGGTCATCACCCACCATTGGAAGATCATTTCAAGGTATCAAACAGCAGTGCCATGTACACCAGCCTGTGACACCCTTCCTCAATGAAGAGTTCACCAAACAGAACTCCAACAAGCTTAATCTTAGAAAGGCATAAATAATAGAAGGAGATTTTAGGTTTCTATGCTAATTGCACTCACCTACTTTGTATTTATACTAAGGCTTTTTGCAGTAATGGAGAGAAAAATAATTATTCTGTTGAAAGATCTAACAATATTTTGCCAGCTTTCTCTAATAGACATGAGAGGAATATAATAGTCTCCTTTAATGTAAGAGGGGCCCAAGTTTTGGTGACTGGAGTAATAATCTTGTACTGCATGGGGGTGTTGGAAACATTTGTAGACTCAGTCACAGACACATTTTAATTTCACAAATCTCTGCAAGGAAAGCAGCCTGTGTTTTTCCAGTGTATTTGCCAAAGGAATCTTACACAACACAACACTAGTGATATTTTGGCATAGTAATCAGTAGAATAAGGATACTGGGTGAACAGTGCAGTACCTGACTGCCAGGTTGGGGCATTTATGGCAATACTTACAGGGAAAAAAGAAACTTTTCTTGAGCAGTCACTGATAACAAGCCAGAGAGGAAGAAGAAAGCCTTTGTTTAGCTTTGATTCACAGCTGACTTAAGAATAAATAATAAACCAGAGTTAAATATATTGCACTGTGACCCACACAGTATTTCTTCTTAAAAGGAATAGTTTTCATGTGACTTTTTAGAAAACAGGTGTGGATCCAGTCTGACTTTAGCTCTGGTTAAGAAGCCAAGTAGTCTGGGAGAGCAAGATAGGGTAGGAAATCCCTGTGGTTTTTAGTCCTAGTGTGGATGCTGTTCTGGCTTCCATATGCAAGGAATCATCTTGAAAATCACAGAGTCTTAGTTTTATTGCAAAAAGGCCTTATGACAGTAAACATCATAGCATTCCCTGTATCAGGAGGTGATGTTAGAACTAACCTTGCTGGCTTTTGAATTTCTGGAAGACACCCTGGAACATTGCACTGCCAAGGGCAGCTGGAGCAAAATAAGAGATAACAAAGAGACAATTGTAATGGAAGTTGATGGATACAAGGATGCCCAAAGAAGCAGGGCAACTAAATAGCCTTGTAACAATGCACAGAGGAGAGCAGGATGACCTGCTGGACATCTCTGTGATTACAAGTAATTTACTGTGGCACATGTATGTATTTGAAGAGATCCTATTAACAGTCTCTGACCTGGCATAGCATTATGTTATGTAGTTCCTTGTAGCAAAGCTCTTATGCTGGCCTGAATACATCAGGAAGCAGGGAAATCTGTTGTGCTGAAGTGATACTAGCAAGGACAATCCACTGGCAATCTGTTCCTGTAAGGGCATGGCTGGGTTTCTCACTTGTGCCTGCTGGGATTTTGCAGTAGAGACAAAGAATTCCCTTTGGGCAGCTACTCTGATGACAGTAAACAGCTCTTAATTCTCTGGATAACAAAAGTGATAACGTAAACTGACTTGTTTTTCTGACACCTTTACAAGTGTAAAGGTCTATCTCTGTACACTTCAGCAAGTAAGAGTAGCACAAGCAGAACCCCATCTTGGGTCATGTTACTGGTCATACCAAGTGCTTCTTATCTGTCTCAGAAAAAAAATGTGCCAAAAATTTAACTCTCTAAAACTGCAGTAAAAGGGCAAGATATTCTGTTAATCCAAGCAGCAGCCATTCTCCTTGCTTATCTCTAGCAAACCTCAACAGTCAGAAAAAGAACTCTCTGAACTGAGCTACCAGCTCCAGGACAGTCCCTTAAATGCCACATGGTTGGGAAGCACTAAGTGTCACTGCCATTCTTCACTCACCAGGACTACCATGCTAGCACTTTGCAGACACACTGAATTTTGCCTATCTGACTGGGTCTGCTGATAACTTCTGCCTCCATGTGCACTGTATAATGTTTCATAATGCGTTATCAAGAGGCCTAAGATGCAGCTGGGAATTTATTACTATCATTTTAATAAGCTATAGAAAATAACTGGAAATTAATAACTAACTTGAAGAGATTCTTCATTTTTACTAAGTGAGCTATGTCTGGGAAATCTAAAAAACTTTGTTAACACAACAGAAGCAGTAATATACTCATTTTCAGAGTAGCCATGAATTTGCAGCAGAAGGAAGGACCTTTTTCTCCATATTTGTTTTTTGCCTGTTCTTTGCATAAGACATAAATTAAAACAGAAATGAACTATTTTTATCTCCCAACATGGCATGAGAATCTGGCAAATTCTCACAAATATCAAATAAGAAACAATCACACAGAAAATTATTAGAATAATGATTATAATAATAAAAATCAACAGCAACAAGAAGGACAGACTTAATAGCAGTTCCTGAAGTCTGGATCTTCAGCTGTGGATGTGACATCATTCTATAACTCTCAGGGCCCAGAAAATCAGCCTGGACAGGCAAAAAATTCTCTGTACTGTCATGGCAAGCAGCATGAAACCTACCATTTCTGGCCTGTTCTAAAATATCCACTATCAATTGCAATTTGAAACTGCTGATGCTCAGAGCAGAAGACTCTAAACAATCATCAGCTCTTATTTCCTTCTGTCTCAAAAATGTGCTTAACACTGCACTGAGGTGCAAATACAGAATACAGGACAGAAAGGCCCTGGTAGTTCATTTAGTCTGTCCCTATCTGGGACATAAATAAGCAGTTTTACACAATTTGTTAAACCTGTTTAACAAATGGGTTGAAGATGGAGATTCTCTGGGAGTCAAGAAAGCTGTGTTCTCTTGCTGTATCAGCCACTGCCCTAGAGGGAAAAGCAAAACCCTTAACCAAGCTGTTTAAATGGGTTTAAGGTCATGATGTACAATGGGGGAAAGTATTTAACTTTTTTTACTGTACTGCACTCCAAAGGATTATCTCAAACACAAAAGAGCACTATTGCTTCTGAAAGCACCCAGAAGAAGTGTCACGCACCTAAGGACATATATGAATAGAAGTGATGGTATAGGGTTAAAATTTCAATATACCCAGGCAGTGCTGGAACTTGAATGTCACTAACCCTGTGAAAAAATGCAATAGCTGAAGTAAAGACCAATACCATTCAGGTGCTGTAGGCACTCCTGGAGCTTTCCTACTGGGACAGCTCTCAGGCAGTCAGGAATAATTTGGGAGCGACTGTTCCTGGTGCAAAGGGAAGCTCAGGCAAGGGAGACAGTTCTGGGGATTGGTGAAGATGAAGGCATAAGATCTCTACATTTGAGCAAAGTTTTTTCCTATTCTTCCCTGTTGCCATTTACAGATACAGCACATTCCAAAGTGTCTCATTCAAACAGCAGGTAGAGCCTCACTATTGTGTCAAAAAGGAACAGGGATACACTGATCACTCTAACCCAGCAAGCTTGGATACTGCTCACTGCAAAGCCACTCACCACATGGAGTTCATCAACAAGAACCTTCCTGGGTCTATACATCTCTCTGGGTTGTGCTACTCATGCTGAGCAATAGCTACACCCGCTCAGTGGGTGCAACACCAGGCAGTTCAAAGCCACTTGGATTGCATCAGTGCAAGCTTCCCTGCCTGCACGAGTCAGAGTGCTGCACAGGGGGCATGGAGATACCTGCTGCGAGTTGAAGACAAGAACTATTTCCAGTGGGGCAGAGCAAGCAAACCTCTGTGCCAGCACACAGGGCCTCTAGATCCATTCAGCTGACAAGCAAGTGGCTGATTTGCCCCAGCTACTCACCCGGCATTGGTACAGCTCCTGCAGCTGGGCGTTGATCCATTCCTCCAGGTCTAGCCAGCGCTGTAGGTCTTTGCGGTTGTACTTTATGGTCAACTTGCCCAGTTTCCTGTGTGATGATTCCTCCCCAGGTTTCTCTGGCGTCTGGAAAGTCACCCTGGGCAGTGCACTGGAGTTGCTGGCCATGCTCACCACCTCCTCCTCTGACAGCAGGAACTCACCTTCCTCTGGGCTCCTTCACACCTTTTCTCTGTCTCCTTTAATCGAAGCCTCTCTGCAACCAGTGTCTCCCAGCAGAAGCTAGTTACAGGCCCCAAAGGTGGGAGGCATTGGTGATCCTAGGGAGAGAGTTAGGGGTGGCCACAGGGCTGGGGAAGCAGCCAGGCTCTGCAGGCAGAGTTACAGCTGCAGACTCTTTGGTTTCACCATCAGATGTGCTGACAGGAGCAGAGAGGCAGGCAGAGTTGTTGTAATAACATCTGTTGTTAAAAGAAGCCAAGTGAACCAGGGAATTGATGAACCATGTTTGTTAATATTTAACACAAGTCAGCTCCAAGAGGTGGGGAAGAAGGAGGTTTTAAATTACTGTTTTCCTACAGGCATAACTTTCATGCATGTGCAATTCCAGAGGGCTGATCCATGCATAATGCATTGAATCCTGCTGCAGTTGCTACTTCGTAAACTGCCTGCAGCTACAAGGTTTAGCTCCCTTTGAGATGGTATATTTGGTATTTTCCAGCTAAAGCATTGGACCCAGCACCGATAAGAAATGGTCTGGAATCAGGCAGCTCATCCATTACTTTATAGCAGTAGATCAGGAAGTAACATTGCAACCCAATATTGCGCTCAGCAGTTCCATTTTTTGTTCTCTATTCTCTAAGTTAACCCCAGCTCTCTCAAAAATTCTGTAGAAATCCCAGTGACATGAATTTGAAATTATTTGAGCAAGAAAATTCTGGGATAAAAGAAATCTGTGCTCATATTAGGAGAAAAGTACAGTGTTTGATGTGATGGCACTGCAGGGGAAGACCTTACTAGGGATATGGCACCATCTCCTTCCTACAGAAAAGTGTTCAAGGTAAGCAGGTTCACCTGCTGAGGCATCATAAATGGCTATCAGACAATATATTATCAATGCTTGGTTTACAGTTCTTTCCCTCCTGGTTAAAGGTCTGCAGCATTATTGCCCTATACTATTTAGAAGGGTATGTGTGAGATGTGCACACTGCTCTTCTATTCAGAGGAACAGCAATCAGGCTGGCTGTGATTACAGGCTGCCAGGACTCTGGGACACCTGTGTCCCTCCAGACACATCTCTATATTCAGCTGTTCCCAGAGCCCTCCAGCAGCCTGCCCAGTGAGCTGCCCCACCACATGGACAAATCAACTGAGACCCTCCATCCTAAAGCACATCAAACATCTCCAGTCTCATGATTCATGTGGAAAAACCAAGTAAGCCTCTGCTGTCAGGAGCCAAGGAATTTCCAGTTTGGAGACCAGGAACTAGATAAGCCAAAGGAAAAGCAACCAACCCTTCTCCCACTGAAAGGTGCTGCCAGGCAGCACAAGGCAGTCTGCAGAGGGGCTGGTGTCTGAAAAGCTTGCCCAGTCCCCCTGGCACAGTTCTGTCCCCAAAAGGATGGTGGTACAGTCAGCCAGAAAAATCTTGTACACAGGGTGGTAGAAAAAAGAGCAGGGCCATTACAGCCCTTCTTTCCATCCTTAATGTGAGGAAAAAAAACAAACCAAACCAAACCAACAACAACAAAAAAAAACCAAACAAAAAAAAACCAAACAAAAAACCCCAACCCTTTTTCAGATGGGAAATTCTGCAATTTGCATTCATATACATGAAGAATAAATTGTTAAGTTATATCTGAAACTGATATTATCTTCTCTGTTTGTCTGACAGCCTAAAACTTCTGTCCAGAAGACAACTGTTAGCTAGCAGCTTTACCCATTTTTCCTCACTGCTTGGCTATATCCCTCCATGAATCCCACTCTAAAACTTCCTTATTTAGATCAAAGTTAAAGAGAAAAATCTGTGTTGAGAGGCTTGTAGCATACTTAGCAAGTGCAGATTCTTCAGAGATTCTTAACTAGTGGAAACCTTGTAAAACCCATCGAACAACTTACGATGCCTTTACAACTATTGACTTTTCAAAGGTTAGTATGGCCTAAAATGGGCAGATATTCACAAGGCAAGTCTGGACCAAAGGACGCATATTCAGGTGATAAATTCCTGTCTCCAAATAGAAATGCTCTATTTAGGTGTTCGAGGACTGACATATTTAAAAGGGGAAAAGAGAGAGGAAAGTGTACTTTGGTCCCAAGAATGTCCAGAGAGGCTGGCATTAAGAGCAGAGAAAGAGGATCAGACTTAAAGGAGAAGCTACTTGTTATCACTGAGTCACTCCAAATATCTGCAGCAGCTGAAAGACTGGCAGGGAAGCCCCTTTCTTCCATCCCCTGTGCTAACTCTTGTGCTCTTGAGCAGTTTAGGTAATCTCTACATGAAAGGTGGGTTTTGCCCTGTTAATATTCTGCCAGCATGGTTGAATTTATGAAGCAGAGAATCCAAAAGTCACAGAAGAGCTGTGAAAATGAGGAAAAAGGGAACATAGCCTACTCTAGTGACTCTTCAAATAGCTCGAACCACTGTTGAGTTGTAACCTCACTTGAGCTGAGATGCCACATCTGTAAAGGTCCACAGGCCTGTTCTCTGAGTAACAGACTCACACCACAGCCTGTACTCTGTCAGTAAAGAAACAAGGGACACAAGTCCTGGTGCTACTCAATCAGAGCCACCCTACAGCTGAACAAGATATTCAGAGGATGATGTCAGAGGTCCTCTCAGGAAAGCTGTAAGCCGAAATGAGCCAGATTACAGGATGTTCATCATACTGCTTTGGCTTACTTCAGCTTAGTCATGAATTTGTTGTAATAAGAAGATGGCAATATAGAAACAAATATCTACTGATAAAGCAGACATTTACTCCTCCAGTAATAAACTGTTTTAAACTATGATTAAAGCAAGAAGAAGGAGCAAAACCAGTAGAAGATCAGTCCTTGAGGGTGTGGTAGAAGTTCCAGCAGGACTCGGTGCCTCATTCAAGGTAGGGGATATTGTCCCCTTGAATGAGGCAGCATCTCGTACAGGTGCACCAGACACCTGCCCGCTGCCAGCAAAATAGAAGCAGTTTCAAGACTTCCTTCACAGTGCCACACCCCATCCTGTCCTTTGCTTGCATTACAGCAGATTCATGTGGCCAAAGGGACTGAAATTCACCATTTTGTTTGGACAGAATCTCAGAGATCTCAGGCATGGCTGGGAGATGGAACTTTATTTTCAACCTAGTTATCTCTCCCTATAGCCTCAGGCATACAACCTGGACCAAAATTTCTGGAGTCAGCACACATACTTGGGCAACTAAGTCATCTAATCAGACAACCTGTTTTTTTCACAAGAGCTGTGCACATGTAGGTTGCAATGGACCTCCTGCTGCAGCTGCTTGTGATCACATCCTCTGCAAATCTGCATATCATTTATGTTGGTGAATAAATGGAGTTTAAACATGGCAAATACATTTGAATTGTTAGACTGAAAGAAACACTATGCCTCAGTTTCCATGTGTGTGGCCTGGGGTTGATTATCCTCCAGGCCTACCCTAAAAGTGAACAGCCTCTGAAAGGGGGGGACAATTCAGTAGTTTGAAGTTGGACTTTCATGACTGTCTATGGTGCCAGAGAGGGCCACCAAACGGAGCATAGGCATCACAGTACCAAACAGCTGTGACATTGATCCAGGCAGCAGAGCATCCAAGGGCATGAGTCAGATCCAGTTACACTCCTGTGCTCTTGAAGCTAGTGATCTCCATCCCACACCTGTGACCTAAGGTGGTGCTTCTCTTTCTTCCTGAGCTGATGACTGTGGTGTGTGCTTAATAATTCAGCAGGGCCTCAGCTCATCTTTCCACGGAACCAGGTTGGTCCCTTCCCCTTGAGTCCCAGCCTAGAGAGGAATATTTCCATTCAAGACAGCAGAAGCCACTCTCCACCTGCTTTAGAAAATAATCACTTTCCCTATGGTTGCAAACGTGATAGTTAACAGAAATTAAACCAGAGAAGCCAGCAGGGGTGACTGTATCAATACTACAGTGACACCACAAGGTAAAGAGGTTCTGTTCCTTCCTGGGAACAGGAATAGGCATGGAAAAAATGTTGCGCAATAAGACAACGTAGCCAGGACTGGAGATTTTAAAAATCCAGAGTCCTAGGTGAGCAACCTCAGTACATCCAGCATCTTTATGTCCATCATCCACTTTCTTTATTTTTCAGTGACTCCATGGGGGCATGGAAAGGCTGCACCATTGCCCCAGAGTTCTAGCAAGTAGAGAGAGAATGCATCATCTCTCACCCTCTGCTTCTGGAGACATAGGCAAGCAGACAGGGATACCCAGTTCATATAGTCCCGAGCTTAACCTGAGGAGTACAGCCACCTTCCCATCAGCACAGGCTGAGAAGCCTCTACATTCTTCAGCCAGGTGTCAGTGATCAGCCTTACTCCTTTCTCCTTGCAGGCTCACCTTTCATAAGGCACTGAAAGGGCACTGGAAGGAACAATGACAAGTGCCAGAGGAAAACATTTCCTAATTTGACTGATCAACCCAAAATTGCGCTGTTTGGCACCGTCTCAGAGAATAGAGAGGTCTCAGCAATAACGAGGTCAGGCGAGCTGGCCTGCCCATTGCCCTTCCTCTGGCCTCAGTTACTGACAATCAAGTGAAGCATAAAGGCTAATGTCTCATCAGCAGTTCAGAATGAACTCCTTTGGCACACCAATTTTCCTTGTCTGTGTCCATCCACAGACATCCTGGAGGTAGCAGATTGAGTAAGCATCTCCACTGAGGAAGAAGACCTCCTTCTCCTTGAATACTTAGGTGAAGATGACAACATGAATTAGATGCCAAAATATTTGTTTGGAGATCTTTGAAAACATGCCCATGTTGTTTGTTGCTCTCTGTCATTACTGCTTCCTTAGAGGAAGAGGTGTTAGGCACTGATAGCATGATCAATGTTTTCAAGTAGCACAGAAGTTTCAGCAAGTCTTTGAATGGTGGAGTTGGAGACAAGAAAAGCACTAGCTGAATAGTTGAAGGGGATCTTCCTTGTTTTCCAGCCTGCTCTCAACATTTTAGGCTTGCAGAGGCTGTACAACTCTTGCACCAAGAAGTTTGTTATGACCCAATCCCCTTGAAAGGGTACCTTCCATTTGCAGGGACTGTCCTGCTCACACCTGCAGGGAAATCACCATCTACAAGCAGAGAGGAGAGCAGACCTTTCCAGGAGGCACTGGCAGCTGGCCTGAAGGTGTTGAAAGAAGATTTCTGGGGATATGGTTGCTGTAGGAAGCAATGGAGGAGAGTCTATAGGGAACCCTATGACCAATGCTGTTC